CTGCATCTTCTGTGTTGAGCTTTCCGAACTTTCTATTGCATCTTCTTCCTACTTAATGGTGGGACAGTGCCTGGATGCAACCCCCCGACTGGCAACTGCACGTCAATTGTGGGGAAGTGCTTTCCCCGTGACACCCCCAGAGTACTTTTGTATCTTTTTTGAGCTCTTGCGGTCAAAAGTACCGAGGTACCTGATCCCTCTTTACATCCCGTCGGGCAGGTTTTTTTTTGTCGATAGTAAGCAACCTGAAGAGAAGAAAAGGGAGTGAACACCCCATTTGTTCTTGATGGAGCGTCTCATTCTTATCTATCGCAATGCGACTTCAATCATCTTTGACAGGCTTCAGTTTTTCCGCGGCACTCTCGGCCACCAACTCAAAATTTACACATAGCAGCAGAGGTGAACCCTCCAGTCGAGCGAAACCTTCGGTCTAAAGTTTACTGGAGCACATGAGCGACTTTCGAGAGTGGCAATTATACCTGAAGGAAATAAGGAGGGTCGACATAAGTTTGTGGAGGGCCATCAGCCCTTAAAAGACGTCAGCCTCAATATCGAACATCAGCTAGCCTGAAATCAGCCAGCATTGAGACGGTAGAGTATTGATCATGGGATGCCATTTTACGACTTGTAATTTTTCAAACTTGTGATCTGCTCATCTTGCTGGATAGTTTCCTGTCATGCGTTATAATCTAGCCTTGGCCCGTTTTTAGGTTATCAGAGATTGGCATTGGGTTGGGTTGACAAAAAGAGAACCTCGGCTTGGACTGATCATGGTGTGATGACTTCTTATCCTATGGGTTGTTGTATGAGAAATTCGGCGAAACTTCCCTTGACGCGCTATTCTTAGTAAGTTTTCCTATGATGAAGGGTATAGAGCGCGAAGAGGACAGCATTAAATAAGCATTATAGGCAGAATATATACGATATCTGTTGGTTATATAAGAGGGTGATAGTGAAGACTTACGAATATTACCTGCCATGTAAGGTCTTCTAAGATTGAGATAGAATTAATGTAGAACATAAACTAACAAAGTGCACTGTCATACTTATGCTATAGTATAATACTGTGTGTCTGGCCTATCCTCTAAACTTACAAGGCTACGGCAAGAACGACTTTATGGCTAACAGCCCGTCACTAAGAATCGGTATACAATTATGAAGTATATCTAGATTGAGATTCCTAGTTATATTAACCCTATATTGTCTCTAAATAGTATAGGATGACTAGGACTAGTTGGATTATGATGTCCTTCGAATTCTAGGAGCTAGCATTTTGAAGACAACCCTGGTGAGTGTTGCATATCCGCCTAGTGATATATTGGTATAGAGGCTTAATTATCTTCTTCTCATTTTCGTCACCACTAAATGCTAGCCAGCTCAATAAGTAAAATAAGTATTGATAATACAAAATGAAAAGATATAAAGGCCAAAAAGGAATCAAAGAAAAGAATATTTGCTTGGGTAGGGATTGAACCTACGATCTCTCGGACCTCGACATCTTGTCTAGGACTATTACCTAGAAGTGTGCTGTGACCGAGCGTGTTCCCTCTTCACCACCAGGCGTTATATTTCGTATTGGCTTTCATGTTATGTTGAAATATATACGATATGACTCTTAATGTGGCTTGGCTTGACATTCCAACACCCCTTACACCAACACCAATTACATAGTTCCTTACGACGGATTGTGACTCATACAGCCGGCATGAACAATCGCTAGTTAATCTAAGCCAGAAACATAATGCTCCGATCTACAAAAGCTTTATTTTTGTTACTCTTATTCTCTTGAATGATACTCAACTTCTAGACTTTACATTTAACACTTAGTCGATATTATTATTTCAGTCATTATTAGTTATATATACTCAATATACCTTATAGTACCTAACACTAGAGAACTGAATGTTAAATTGTAAAGCGAGATGGCTTTATATTCATTTTTCCATGACCTCAAGATGACTCTTTTCTACTCATGCTATGTCGATGTCACTAATGTTCAAAAACGAATGGTAAAATTGAAGTCATAAAGGCCATCTAATCCACCTGGAAGACTATGTGAGTCATCAACCTCGGCTTCCTATTAGACGGAGTCATACTCAGGGGTAATTTATCAACCAACGAACCAATTTCGGTCTAGCTTTTATCAATGAAATATATTTTAAACCCAGTTACTTCTTGCGAGTTTCCCAAGCTCATGCATATATGCATAGGGGTATATTTCATTCCACCATCCAACCCTAGACTGAACCCGTTCCTCGTAACTTGACTATGTACACAGGGATCTATAACAACTGTAGTGGTTGAAAGTAAGAGACTAGGGAAATCCTAATTCGCTTAAGCACTAGTCGAAGAAGGAGGACCGCCGCTCATAGAACCGCTCGGGAATCCGCTAGGCATAGTCCCATTTCCACCAGGGCCAGTTCCGTTGCCACCTCCACCGCCGCCGACGCTGTAGCCGGTTGAGTGGCCGCCCTCGGCATCAAGGTACGCGGCTGCAATTTACGAATTAGCTCTCATATACTCATCTGTTTCTTAGACGTGGATTAAACTTACCAACTCCGTAGTACGCGTCCTCGGTGTAGTCAGCAGAGCCGTTAATGCCGATCTGGATCCAGGCAAATAGACCGTCCTCGATGGAGTCGCCGAGGTAGACGAATTGCGGGATGGGGTCGAACGACTCGTCGGCTTGGACGATGGACCACATGTCTTCGTCGTTGGTAGTTACTTCCACCGTGTTGGTGTTGTACGGGTACGTCGCCTCGACTTCGACGCGTAGGTCCTCGGGCCAGAATAGCTGTCCGATGTGACTAACCGGTGCATTCCTATTGTCGAGGGTTAGTTAGGGTATATCGAGAAAAAAAAATCGAAGCATTGAACTCTGGGATAGGCGGCTTTATTTTTTATCACAACTTACCACACGGAGATAGTACCGTTGGGCATTACCGTAGCATTGGTATGCGACAACAAATGCGTGTGGACAGCACGTCCGCTGTAGTGGCCAGGGAAGATTGTCTCGAAGCTGGCGACACCATCGTCGTCTGTCAACTGGATTCCTCGGAGGTAAGTAGAGTTGTATCCGCCGTCGGCGTAGTTTCCGTTGGTAGAGATACCGCTGTAGACGCCGGTGGCATTGCAGTTCCAGATATCAACTGCGACGGCAGGCATGGGATCACAGGTGTTGACGTCGATGTACTGGATCTCGAGGAATAAGTCGATACCGTCACAATACTTGGCCTCCTTGACGTTGGATCGCATCTTCTCGCCGACAACATAGTACGGCCCGTCGGTAATTTCAGGGGCCAAGATGCAGCTCGTGTTTCCGCTGAATACCTCCTCGAGCGAGGTGAACATGTCGTAGTCGTAGGTTCCCGTCATGTTGTGGTTGACCTTCTCCCAGGCCTGGAGATCCGCGAGGTCTCGCTTGTCCTTTCTCGCGGCTGTGGAGGCTCCATTAGTTCAACACACCTTCTAGTTTAATGCTCGGTACTCACCGGTCTGGATGCCGCGCTTCTGTCGGATTTTATTAACGGTCTCGGCACGGCGCTTGATCGAGCGCGCCTTGAGTGCCTGTGCGGAAGCCGAGTTTGAGCATGAAGCCAGCGATCGAGCTCCGAGTTGAGCCGCATTGTCACGGGCTACAATTTCACGCTTCATCTTGTGTGCATCGTGCTTCTCGCCAGGGTGAGCGGCGGTATAGCTGACAAGAGCCGCGAGGGCTAGGTTGGAGAAAGCGACCATGATGATGATGAGCGAATAGGGGAGGTCTTTGAAAAACGATTGACTGTTACTGAATGGCTGGATAGAGGATAAGTTGCCTAGGAGTTGGTGATGAGTAAAAATGGCAACAGAGACAGCGACATGATAGTCTTTTAATATTGTTACTAGAGGCTCTATCCACATGAGTAGCTCTCTTCGAGGCCCACCCGACGACGACGACTATGGACATATCTATTCGTAATGCTTGTCGTGCATCTTGGTGCTGCATTGTTCTTGGTGAGATCATGGCATATCAAGGACTCGCAAAAATTTGTGGCTTTTCCATTACAATTGTTACCATTGGCCTCTCTAGCATGCTCTAGCCTCAGCCTTTAAAGATACCATTACGCGTCCCCTACGTAGAGGCGAATATTGGGATATGAGAAAAAGCTGAGCCTTGTTCAGGAGAGTTGCGTTCGTAGGGAACAGGGGGAACCCTAGTCATCTCATCTGCCAATGAAAAAGACAGGATTTTCAAATCCATCGGACGATTCGACGATCCAAGCATCGTCATGTCTTCTAGAGCTGGAAGGCTTGAAACGGGATGTGGATGGTTGACGAATCCGACCCACATAGACTGATACCCATATCCGCATTTCGGTAGTTATAATGGATAATAGCCCCTTTTTAATCGTCTAAATAAAGCCCATCTAACAAGATCTGTTTTCGTGTTTCAATGTTTCGTGGAGTGACTATTTTTATTGCGCCTCTTTTGATCGCGTCGAAAGATGAACGCGTCAAATCTTTCATGAGTCGTTGATGCTGTGCTGTGGCTTTGAAGATACCCGGGATTTATATCTCTCGTACTTTAAACCGTTGCGAGTGGCCAAAGGGTATGTGATGGGTTTGGGATACGGGTGCTTGCAGCCAATGAGCCCCGTTTGTTCTGTAAGGATGACGGGTGAGGGTATACATATGCCCAGCTCATCTAGGGAAGCCGTAACACTTAGGTTCTTTTTTTTTTTTTTTTTTTTTTTTTGCTAAGGGTATATTCTAAATCTAGCTGCCCTTTTTGATAGGATGTTTTTATTATATATGAGCTGTTATGTAGTCATGCGTGATCGACAGGCACCCATATATCCTTTCTAATTGCGGTTAGTTGATACTTGTGTACATATGACAAGACTTTATTCATTAAGCAACTCTTAATATGATTGGCTAAAAAGGTAACGTGCGTTGTTCCGCAAAGGGTATGTCCAAAGTCCTAATCGAAGTCTGATTGGCTACTTCTCAGTAAATATTGGTTCAAGGTAGTTTTATGTCTTGTATAAGTCGAATTATACTAACTCGAGCACGGCAGGAAAATTCTACAATACTTGAGAGGATATAACAGGTACCGAACTAAGACATATGATCTTCCACTTCCCTTATCATACGAAAGACTCAAAATCGTGGAATTCCTAGCGCCTCTCTCCTTCCGGTGCTCGCTGGGTCAAGATATGGCACTTCGCCGGTCCCCGAAGCCCGTACACCTGTCCTAATACCCTCTACAAGATGCGTGTCGGGCTGTTATACTCCCCATTAGCACCGAGCAGAAACGGCTATATATAGGTAAACACCCACAAAGAAATAGGATACTCACAGTAGCAGCGTGCAAAGTGCACACATTACTCCAAATCGCACAAGCCCCCCTCGTCCAATGCATCCTAGCTATGCAATCATGGTTCCGCGTAATAAGCCTCAACACATAATCGCGGATCATCTGGTCCTCGTACGAGTACACGCCATTAATCCGACTGACGTGCAGCCCCACGCCCGCGAACAGCGACTTCCACCCGGTGACGGGGTGCGTGCGGACCACGGGGTGCGACGGCGAAAACTCGTAGTCCTTGTTGAGGGGCGACCCGCGGGGCGACGTGACGTCGTACCCGCCGGCCTTGCAGGCGGACTCGAAGACGGGCTGCGCGCACGTCGCGGTCAGGGTCTCGAGGAATTTCTGGTAGGGAGGGGATAGCCGGTCGTAGAGCTCGTAGCCGGATACCCAGAGGGTGTCGCCGCCGGCGGGTGGGGTGTCTTGCATGCGGAGGAAGGAGAAGTCTGAGGGGCAGTTCTCGAAGAGGCCTGGAGGATTGATGTTAGTGTTTTGTTCTAAACTGGGAATATTGGGGGGGGGGGTTGGTCAACATACTGTCGCTATGCCATTCCCGGCCCAGGTCTCGAGGCTCGCTGGCTGAGCCGGGACGGTTCTTCATTGTGGCATATAACTTCTTGGCCGCCTCGGAGTTGATGACATAGCTGAAGTTCTGTCAGCGCTAGCATATATAGGTAGGTATGAAAGGGGGTAATTTCCTTCAACCTACATCTGCCTGTCGGTGGTACCGTCTGCCATGGGGAGATTGTTGGGGTCATTATACAGGGGGTGTACGTGCAGCCCATTCTCGGGAGGTCGTCCCGTTAGCTTGCCAAGCAAGTCCGTGATATATTTCTGCTCTTCGATAGAAAGATCATCTTGGGGGGCTCTGAAGAAGACTACACCGCGCTCGCAGATGGTGATCGCAAGGTCTCGCAACTGTTCTTCAGCATTGGGGGCTTTCAGCATGTCCTTGAGCTTCGCGGTGGGGTATTCCCGCCCGATGATAGGGGTGCTATCGACATATTCGAGATGATCGATAGACGACCCCTTCTTCAAGGGCTCTCGTTTGAGCTTTTTCGTAGAAAGAGAACCCATGTTCTGCAATAAATAGTATAATATATGTTCTTCGCTCTATCTGTATGAAAAACTACTAAGGGCTCCAGAGAACTGTTGGATGACCAACAGGAATGTAGACTCCGGTAAGCGAAGGGGAACCGGCCACTTATATTTACAAGATTATAGCTTACCGACCGATGAAACCGGAGGATTCCCAAGCTACCCCAATCTATAGCACCGTCCATCGCTTAACTGTCTGCCGTCTGGGGTATGCGGGGGCAGCCAAGGGGCTATGTCAATTTTGGATATCGACAATGTGAATATGGGGAAGTTCGGGGTTAGGATGCGGAGATCGCGTACCAATACTTCGCCGCAAGACACCCTCAGGTGAAGACCCGAGGGTCGGGATATGTAGTAGCGCGTCTGCTCTGTCGGGATGGGCAATTTATCTCCCATGGATTAAGGAGTTCTTCAAGAGGCAGCCCATCCGCCTCTCATCATCGACAGGATTCTCATTACTTTCATCTGTGTCTCAGCGTCAGTAAGACATATACCACCGCAACGATGGTGGCCGCCGCTATATCAGCAAATCCGCTGCAGTTGGATATTCGCAGTCATAAAAAGTGTCTTGCAATCTGTTTTGTTGTTACCATCTCGAGCTTTCAATATGGCCTTGACTATGCCCTCGTCGGCGGCTTCATGGCTATGCCTGGCTTCTTGAAAGTCTTTGGCTACTACGATGAAGCGGCTCACAAGTGGGCCATTGACCCGACTGTTCAACAACTTATTTCCTCTCTGATGACAATTGGAACATTTGTGGGCTCGCTTTCGGTTGGGCCGTTCAGCTCCAGGTTTGGGCGACGACAGGGGTTGTGGGCAGCATCTCTCCTAAACTGTATCGCAACAGCGATAATGATTGGAACGACGAATCTCGGTGCACTCTACTTTGCCCGTTTCGTTCTTGGTAAACCTATAATCTATAACTAAGCCGAATTTAGGATAGGACGTAACTTATACGCATATAGGAATTTCGGTCGGCTGGTTTCTTACTTTCGCTCAAGTTTACATCAACGAAGCAGCACCCGCCCATCTTCGAGGCATTGCCTTTGCCGTATACCAGAGCCAACTCTCTATAGGGTCCATCGTCGGATCCGCTATCGACTATGGCACTCATACTATGCTCGGCAAGGAAGCTTATCGAATCCCACTTGCCATCTTCTTCGTTGCTCCGACCATCCAGACGATTGCTCTGTTCTTCTTCCCAGAGAGTCCACGATGGCTCATGACACAAGGAAGAGAGGCAGAAGCTGAGTCGGCACTTCGAAGACTCCGAAATAGCAATATTAAAGAGAACGAGTTCCAAGCCGAGTTTGAAGAAATCCGAACTTCTACAGCGGCGCAGGCAGACCAGTTCAAGGGGAAGCACCTGTGGGTTGAGATGTGGAAGGGTACTAATCGGCGTCGATCCATACTTTCTGTAGCTGTTATCTGTTTCCACTGTGCTAATGGTAAGTGACATTCTATGAAGAAATAGAGTACCATGCTGATATTTATGTCTAGGTTCTTCTTGGGTAAATACCCCTATACACTTGTGACCCAGGTACTAAGACTTGACTAACCTCTCTTAAACAGCTGAACATTTATACAACTTACTTCCTCACTGTTGCCGGTGTAAAGGAAGCATTTTCATATTCTACCATGATAACCTGTATGGGACTCATCGGCGTCCTGGCCAGCTTCTTTGTCGTTCGGCACATTGACCGTCGTGTTATTCTTCTCATCGGAGTAGCGGCGTGTGGTTTCTGTCAACTCGCGTTTGCGATCGCTTGGACTGTAGCCCCCGGAACTGTGGCCACTGCAAAGGTGGTCATCGCCTTTATCGCGCTGTTCACATTCTTTTATGTTGCCTATGGTAAGTAGCCCATTTTTATTCTAGGAACAGTTGCCGCTAACTTTAATAGCGCCCTATGCTTGGCTCCTAGGAGGCGAACTGCCTAGTAATCATCTCCGAGCTCATACTTACGGTGTAGCCACCGCACTTAACTTCCTTGGAAACTGGCTAGGTGTCTTTACCGCGCCGTACTTCATCAACCCAGCCAGCCTAGGATGGAGCGCTAAATATGGGTTAGTAATAGTAAACCCATTGTCGATCTTTCGCTAACGGTGTAACCTAATAGATATATCTGGTTTGGATCCAACATGATAGTGTTCCTATTCACGTGGGCTTTCATGCCCGAGACGCGCGATCGAACCCTAGAAGAGATAAATGAGATATTTGAAGCTAAGGTTCCAGCTCGGAAGTTTAAGAGATATATATGCACAGAAAGGGAAGCTGTGAGAGTAGCGGTCATTGAGGAAAAGAATAGAAGCGCATCTCATGTAGAGGAAGTAACTCAGGAAGGGGCATAAAATTACTGAAGCCAAATGGTCTTTCAATAATGGTGGAATTAGATTCACATTCTCTAATTTTAGGACGTACATCAACACCTTACCAACTGGGTAATCCATAAATAGCCCCTTATGCATTTATTATCTGGAATTCCAGTTAGAGCATATTTGGACATTCTCTCTAATATAGTTTAATCGGAGGGTATATTTGACGACATGGGTACATAGGTAGCGATAGGTTGCTACAACAACAGTAGAAGTTGTGTTGGATTTTCCACGTCCACCTGCAATTTCTAGTGCGCTACATGAAACAATTTCAAGGCAAATACCTGATCACGAGTTAAGGAGGTTTGGATTATAAGACGATTCCGAATAGCACGTAGACTAGGTCCAAAGCCACAAGATGGTGATATACCTCACTTAGCCGGGCCAGATGGTTTGTACCTCGGGGCTCAGTATGGGAAGCTCCAATCCCCGGCTGAGGGATATCTTTGTCCATCATCTGTGCAGTGGCTTTGCGGCTACCGGTTACCTTGTTCGTTTCGACGAGGCCGACGTTGAACATGGTTCCGTTGTTTTGTAAGAGTATAAGGACCATGTTGTTGAGTAGAGATCAGACGAAACGAGCGAAAAAGGTATTTTGGAGGAATACTTTCAATCAGACGGTATACGCGGTTGTAATATTATCAAGGTATATCAATTTAAATACCGGCGGGGGGCAGACCTTATGTCTGTTTGGGGCAGAGCCACCTGAATCCTTTCCAAATGCCGTTACCATTCCCCGGCTCTTGGTAATGCTCCTGCTCTCCGCGTCGGGAAGACGAGTACACTATCTACCTCCAGCTGGGGGACGCGGAGTAGTGATCCTAGGCACCTACGGGACCTCCTGCCAGCGCGTACAACTTCAACACCAATCATTACACGCCACACACCGAGGTATTAGCGACTTTGCGGACAGAGAACTGCTGGATTATGCGTGCCTGGTGGTAGGCTTTTTCGTGGACGAGGAGGAAGACTTGGGTGGATGGACCATACTTAACACTGAGAGACAAGGAGAGACCGGGGAAGTTGACATAATGGAGACGAGAAATATGGAGATGTTTAGTTGGCAAGACAATGTCGATTTGGAGGGAATTTGTGATATATGCAATGGCCTGCTGTTATGTTTACTAGTTCAAACCATTATCCATCGACTCCCCTTTTTGAGAACAACCCATCGGCCCACTAAGGATGTTATTGATCAAGACATCACCTTTATTCTAACCTGAACTTTTAGAAAGCTGGACCTGTTGATGAAAATATACATTAGGTATTAGAATTAACTACAACCATTAACTAGACGCGTAATTAAATTAACTCGACTTTGGTAAGTGTGTAATAGCAAATAGACGCCTATTAACATTAAAATCACCAAATGTCTAAAGAGAATAAATGCGCAAGATGTCAAAGTCAAGATAAATAATATTTAATCTTTATTGTAACTAACTAGCACGTACTTAAGCTTCTCAGGGAACTTGGGTTTTGTGCCTTATGCTGCACCTTTAACCCCTTTTCCCTAAAAAAGGAGGTTTCGAATGGAATAAGTACCTCTTCTAAAAGAATCAGTCGTAATAGTACATGGTAGGTAGGTGCCTTGTATTTAAATCATGAGTCACTCCTCTTGAAAAATCTTCACGAAAGATAACACGTGTGAGTAGCAACGGTCGTAGTGACGGCTGTAGTGACGGCTGTAGTAACGGCTGCAGTAACGGGCAGCTGGCGGTTTTACACCGCACCAGCGTATTATCACGGCAATAATACCAGACCGCCCAGACCGCCCAGGCAGACGAGTATATAAACATTTTGGCCCGGCGCCAGAAGCAAGAATTTTATTTTCCCTTTACAACACCAAACCAACTTAACAATCAATCAACCAACCAACCAACCTACCTCTTATACCTTACTTCTTGGTTAAGTCTCACTTCAATAAAAGAGACCACGTCTTATCTTAATAGAAGATGTTTTCTTCACAACACTAAACTTACTTATACTCTATCCACGTCAAATTCAACACCTCAGCGTACAACATCCGCGATAAGAAATACACCATACCCTAATACAATACATAGGGTCTATAGGCAATGCTTAACCCAGCTTTCATGCCTTTCGAAACGGCCTGTGTCTGGAGAGCTAGGTCGGGGGGACAAGGATTTCGACAGCAGACTATAATCTAAGGTTACAACTTGCCAACACATAAATTAACAACTTCTGTCGGCAATACCTTGATGGAGAGGCCAACTAGACCAGATTAAGAGCCAGGTTGGAGATGGTGGCGCATGCTGTAGCTGTGCTGAGCAGCGCGACCCAACGAAGATCTTCGGTAATAATGATCTTCCCAAAGACCAATTAACAGGACTAATTTATCTCCCCTACATGGGAGATGATGATACCCCAATGCTGGATGCGGAATTATATGAAGACCAGGATGACAAGAAAGATGAGGAGGATGACACAAATGACGAACAAGCTTCCTGTCGGCGCTCATTGCGCACCCCTTTACTCTACCTTACTCTTGCCGTCTCGCCATTCCTCTGACCCGAGCCATTCCTCTGACCCGAGCCATTCCTCTGACCCGATGTTCCGCCTCCTCCTTCCAATATACTCATATCACAACCCTCTTAAATCTAATCCAACTCGCCTTTCAACAAGATAAAATAAAATAAAATAAAAACCAGCTAGCCAAAGGTAAGCCAGCCAAAACAAAACAAACCAACTTTTACAAGTCATTAAAACTAACATCATATTCTCCAGATAATATTTTTTGACATCACCACCACTAATTCCAACACCTTATTAACCCTACTATAACACAACACGCAAATTCCCCCCTTAACTACCTAACCTATGTAACGGGCCCGGGCCCCACTATATGTCCTGCCGCCCCCTTCAACACCTAAACTAAACTATAAGGGTCGAACCTCAACGATCTCGCACTCGCCTCAACTCTACATGGGCGCCGAAGTCACTACAAACTCCCGCTACCCGATAAAGTACAACAATCTATCCAAGTCCTAGTCATTTCCCTCCCGGTTCAACCGCGGCGAAGGCAAGGTCTTGGCTTCCGGCGGCCGGCCCCCTACCCATGCCCATGGAAGGCGGTGGCCTCGGCGGTATTCTCGTCACAAGGAAAATAAATCACCATCACCAGCTCCGCCGCTTCGTCCGCTATAAGTAAACCTTCAAGACTCCTATCAATGTCTCGGTCCAGGGAAACCAGTCTGAGCTAAGGGCAGAGCCAGGCTACGCCCAGGTAAGATCCCAACCGAGGGGTCGGCGGCTCGGCTCAGGTGGTAAGGTTAAGATGAAGATGTTGCGCTGGACGCTTTCTCGAATATAGAGTTGATAAGAGGTACCTGCGCCTGGTATTGAGAAACCGGAGGAAGAGAAAGTGGTTCCTGAGGCACAGCTACCCAGGAGATTCGAGCTCGAGGATGTGGGGTTTGTTCGGTTGGTGGTAGTTAAGGAAAGGCGTGAGAACGCGGCTGAGGAAGGGCGTGAGAGCGGAGCCGAGGATGTGGGGGTTGTTTATTCGGTTGGTGGTAGTTAAGGAAAGGCGTGAGAACACAGGGGAGGAAGGGTTCGAGATTAACGGTTTAATAGTAGAGGATATACCTATGTTTAGAAGCTAGATATGCTCTGTTCTGGCCTCCATCCAGCAACATGATGGTTGGCTTGGGGAACTTCGTCACTAAACTAATAACCGTTAAAAGTTTCGTCACTAAATTGATAACTATTAAATTCTTTATTATTTACTGCTTATTATCTCCTGTGATAACCATAACTGCCTAAAGAACAGCTGTGGATTTGACACATTTTTCACTACGCTTTTAAATGGGAATACATTAGGTACTTCCTAAGAAAGGACAATAAAAACTCATGTTAACTTACAAGATATTTACCTACGTAAGTAAAAGAACTTTGTTAAAGGGTACCTTTGCTTACCATTTGGTATTAAGTATCTAGCATTTGTAATCCGAGCGAGTAAAAGTACAGTCAAATACTACGACTTTCAGTTGCTCAGTTCCGTCTATATTCTCCCAAAGTAACCTAGTTGAGACAAGGAGAATATTTAAAAATAATTCAAGCTAATTCCACAGAAATGAATTGTGTTCTTTTCAAAGATAAAACGGACAACCACAAAGCCTAGCCCCTTTCCCAAAAACACCTACCATTTAAAATGATGCTTCTCCTTACATTGTAGCTAAGTAAAAATAATACGTAATTTGGCTTTATTGAATTTTCAACAGGTCAGGTCCAAAAACCAACCAATTAGATACATGATACCGCGAACATAATGTACTACATATTAAGGAGTGATGGATGATAGTAAACGCCACACCTCCATCAATCTTAATACTGAATGTATCGTATCAATCCCCCTTTATCTAATCTTACCCCACTATCCTCCATCTCAAAGCCCTCTCTACTTCTTCCCCAGAGCAGCTTTCACAGCCTCCACTTCCTCCTCAAGCGGCAAGATATCCGGGAGCGGGCCCAGCGGGGTAATAGAATGGGGATTAATCTGCGTATGACTACGCGTGTAGTGATTCTTAATATGCAGGAAGTTCGTTGTGTCCTTGAACGCGGGATGCTTCCAGTACAGGTTGCGCGTGTAATCATGCAGGCGCGGGTACCCCGATCTGATGTCGCGTATGTTGCACTTGAAGTGCTGCACGTAGACCGGGTCGAACCGGATTAGTGTTGGGAAGCTGGCTCTTGTGTTAGTTACCATTATCAAGACTCGTGCCCTTTTTCTTATTTTTAAAAAAGAAAATAATCTTATACATAGAGGGACATCTCTCTAGTGTTGCCGCAAAAAGGGGTAAGGGGTAAAAGACAAAAAATCTCACAGTCTAACATCCACCTCCGTCAACTTATCCCCCAAGAAATACGGCCCCCCCGTCTCCTCCAAATGCTTCTCGGCTCTATCCAGCGCCTCAAACAGCGCCCTGACATTCCTCTCGTACGCCTCCTGGGTCGTCGCAAACCCGCTCTTATACACGCCGTTATTAATATGATCGTACGTCCACTCGTGCGCCTCCTCGATCTGCGGCCGCAGCGCCTCGGGATACAAATCGACCTTGGCGAACTCGGGCGGCAGCTGCTCGTTGAACACGGTGCCGAGCATGCGCAGGATCTCGCTGCTCTCGTTGTTGACGATGGTGTTGGCTTTTTTGTCGAAGAGGACGGGGACTGTAAAGCGTCCCTTGTAGTCTGGGTCTACTGCGAAGTATAGCTCGCGTAGATGAGTGTACTTCTCATGTCCCGGGACTGGGTCCGGGATCACGTTTTCTCCTTCAGCATCCTTGTCTTCCGGGGTAGGGAATCGCCATCCTGTTGAGATTTTAGTTTTCTAGCCGTGGATATATGGTTTCTATAAGCAGACATACCCTTCTCTCCCATATACCAATGCACGCTGGAGAAGGTGATAAAATCCTCCAACCCCTTAAGCTTCCTCGCGATCAAGGTACGTGTAGCCTGTCAATGGTTAGCCAGTTGGCTCGTCGCATATTAATATACAGGGTAGCAAGCAACATACCCAGGGACAAGCATAGCTAACGTAGAGATGATACCGGCCCTTCTCAGGCGGGAACTGCGCACCAGGCTCCGTAGAAATCCAATTACGGAACGAGCTGCTAAGACGCTTGAATTCGCCGCTAGTGTCTCCGGGCTTGACCCAGTCTGTGATCTTAGAAGCCTATTTCCCAAGTTAGAACCCATTTGAAATCATCTAACTAAGACTAAAGTCATCTCACCATCCTGATTTTCTGTTGTATATGCTTCTTCACGGGACTCGGTGCTGAATCTGCAAGTATGCCTTTATACTGTTGTTGTTTCTTTCCCCAGGTCGAATTAGTTCTTATAGACTGTGAAGAAGTTGAAATTAAACTTGACGATAACGATCGCTTCGCAACACGAGAAACTGCAAAATGAGGAGTAATTATGTTCATAGATGCGGGGAACGTTTACTTGTACAACTCCCCAAACCTAGACGCCTTTTATAGTTTTTAAATTTGAAGCTTTCTTCGTTGAGAAACAAGGCGTCTTCAAATCAGATGTTGTTGAAATGACGTGCGCTACGTAGCTCTATTCAGCTTTGTCAGAATCTCTCCTTACTGATGGCTTATACCACGATTACGGATCGTGACGTAAAAGGTTCTAGTTACCCTAGCATGACTAATCAGCTCTAAGTATGGAAGTGGAGCTGGACGGGAGCTGGACGGGAGCTATCTTGGATTGGATGTGGAGAAGTTCGTATAGCTCCAACTCAGACTAAGAAGTAGATGGATTTTACAAATAGGAGGAGGACATTACAAATAAGGGGACTAAGTAAGGTACCAAAGGACCTCAAATAAAATAAATAAAATGTAAGGACGGTCAATAGAGCGGCTTGGGTAAAACTAAGTCTATTTGCGACTAATTACCTTGGGCACTTGCGGCAGAAGCTGCAATTAAGCTCAAAAAGCAAATGATGCACTCTAATGGCGCATGCTAACCCCCTCCATACAAGACTTCTATCCTCATAATCCCTAAAACTGAATAAAATGCACGAGTAAAAAGCACCGCACAGTTCGTGGTATACTGGGCAGCTAGTCATCTAGCGGATGTGAACCTTGATGTATGGCACTTCCACGTCTTCCTCATCCAAGTCCTCAGCCACCATCTCGAAGATGAGCTCCTTCTGGTGTTCCGGAATGGGCTTCTTAGAGACAGTCTCCACAAGCTGGCTCAGCTTGAGCGGGTATCGCTCCTTTAACTTCGGGGGCGGGAAGAAGCTGGCGTAAAGCAGGCTTACTCCCGAGCTCAGCATGCTAATGTTAAGACCACGATTTTGGAAATCGTCTAGCAGCTCAGCTAAGGTTATATCTTCAACCTCAAATCGATCCCAAATCTTGTCTAGCGTGACCTTGCCGTCTGGTCCCCTGTATTCAACCTTGGGGCTGGCAATGGGCTCGCTGAAGCCAAAGAATGGTAGCGCGAGGTTGACAAACCCGTTCTTGTATTGCTCGATATCATCTTTTCCGTCGATGATCTTGTACAGCTCTAGGATAACAAGGCCTGTGACCAATGCCGTCGTAGTGGCGATAGCCGGGATGATCTTTCCGGCGATAAATTTCGTCTTGTGTTTATCAGCCTTCTCGATCTTGTAGTTGTCAGCTCGTAAGTTGCTAGCCGCTGTGATGAAATCAATATGATGATTGGTGTCATCGTCCTTCTCGAACTCGACGGGCGTCAACTTAAACCCGGCCAACTCGCTGGGCGCCGGGAGGCTGTAGACGATATTCTGTATCTCGGTGTTATCGTCAAATGCAGAGACGTTTTTGTTAGAGTTCGGATCCTTATAAAAGAGGTTAGTTGTGGCTCTTGTAAAATAAGAGTTAATGAATTGTGTACACTTACAGGGTCGCTATCGTTGGCCTGGATCTTGACACCCGGATCGGGTGAGAAGTCAGGAACGATCATGTTATCCAACACCTTCAGGTAGAGGTCCTTGTTCACACCCTTAGTCTTGATGCCATAGTTGAATGCGTGGAGGTTGGCAGCCGCAACGATGAAATCGAAATGAGTAGGATTCTTAGGGTCAAACTTCAATGGGTCCGGGGCACGTTTGGGGCCGGACCAGAAGGGAGTACCGCTGGAGGACACGGAATCTTTCGGGAAGTTGTAAAGGAGCTGCTGAATTGCGTTATTGTACTGCTTCTCGAATAGCATTCGCGCCCAGATGACACAGTCTTCAAAGCTAAGAGGCTTGTCCGTTACAAGGTAGTCACGAATCATCTCCAGAGTCGGCTTCTCGTTACCACCTTGCTTAAGTGTCGTGTCGAGATAATTGGGCTGAGACAGATACAAGTTGACTGTTTCGGCAGACTTCACGAAGGACGTCTCAAAAAGCTCGCGGGCCCACGCGATAGTGTGCTCAATCTTGTTCGGGAAACTTCTTAGAGTGCACATAGGGAACGATACCTCAGGAGGGTCCTGAGAGGACGAGTAGGATTCTGTTAGCATGGGGAGGACCACCTGTGTGTTTCCTTTAGTGCCGAGAGTACCGCTCTCGAGAAGAGGTTTACGGAAGAAGACACATCGTCGGTCAACGTAAGTTCGTGCCTCTACGTTGTCCAGAGCGTTTGTGACTCCATCCAAGGATTCCCAAAATTCCTTGTTGAAAATGTGCTCAGTTTCGGGGCTGACACGGTCTTTCAAGCACTCGATGTGGCCTACGAGCTCGGGGTTCATAGCCTGTACGGCCTTGGCAGCGCAGTCACTCTTCATCTGACCAACATCCTTAGGTCGGAACAAGAATTGACGGTTCAGATTGCTCTTCTCAATCGAGTCCATGTCGGTAACAGTAATCTTACCGTTAGGTCCTACACCTAGACCAATCATGGCCCAGTTCTTGAGCATTTCGCAGCCGATTGCACCCGCACCGACAAGGAACTGTTTGACATTTGCGATCTTGTCCTGGAATTCTTTACCAAAGACTGCGATTTGACCATCGTATCGAGATCCAATTGGTTTGCAGAGCTCCTCGGTTCGGGCACAGCTAGTAGGAAGAGACTCTAGCGAGTCGAAGTAGAACCACTGCTTGATCGGATGGAACTTTCCAGAGACAGCTTTTAGAACTTCCTGCGCAGTGAGACCGCCGAACAGAGCAGCCATGGGGTTAAGATCTCCCTGAGCCTGATAGCTGAGTTCCTTAATAAGCTTCTCGTCGATCTCAAGGTCCAACTTCTCCTTTTCGATGAAGGCCTTGACAGATGCGACAACAACAGCAGCATCCTCCTCGTTCTTCGGTCGGGGTAGACGACCCTGGGACTGAGCAAAAGCATGGAGTGCCTCAAACCCGACATGGAGCTGTTGGGGTCGGTCAAACTTGGCGAAATCGGAGATAACGAACTCGGGATCACGGATAGCCGCAGAAATCGTCTTGAATTCGAGGAATTTAGGCATCTTGACTTGCTGGTAGAGACCTCCGCTCTGATACGGACCAAGTCCGGAGACATCACCAATAGAAAAGGTGTAAGGACCCTTAACCGTTACTTTTCTCGGTTCAGCGCCGTTCAAAGCCTCCATACCCTTAATTTCGGAGAATGTAACGTAGTCGCCATCCTCTAAGCCGTGACGAGTCTCATCTAATGCGGAAACTAGACCCTCCTCGTCGATGCCAGCTACTATTCCGTTGACTGGGTTTTCGCCGGTCGCGTCGAGGCACGTGAATTCGCTGCCAAAGTCGCAGAAGATCGAGCCGAACAGTCCAAAGGTATCCGCAACTACAAAGTAAATACCTTTTGAGTGGCAGTAATCGCCGATAACTAGCTGAAGGTGGAGAGGGGTGTTGGTTAAGACGACAACTTGGTACTTGTCAAATTGGGAGAGGTTGTCACCAAGGCTGTTTAAGCTGTGGTTAACCCATGGTACTATCAGTAGGACGGTTACTCCACATACCTAGGTGATTCGTGAATGCCGACGGGTGTATAGGCATTCAACTCGGCGACACGGGGAGCTGTGACAGCATCGCGCGGCTTTCCCACATCGTCTGGGCGGAGGAAGAACTGAGATGATAGGTCGGCGATGGCAACGGGTGTGGGATCGTGGAGGGTTAGACTCTTGACACCAGCAAGAGCTATGTTCTTGGAGATCTCGACGCCGAGACCTTTCAAGCCAACAACAAGCACGTTGGATGCGCCCATGCGCTTCATGGCCTCGTGGCCGAGAACATAGAGCTGTCGGCTGTAAAGTGACTCGTCAATCTCGCTTTGGCCAACGGCAGAGTTATCGACCTGGACGCGGGTGACCAGGTCGACCTCAGGAATGCCCGAAGCCATTTTGGTATCCTGTTATACGGTTTATACATCAGTACTTGGGTATAAGCAAGCAGATAGTTATTCGGGTCTATGTAAAATAGCTGCCGTCAAATAAAACAGAGTAGCGATGGCGCACGAGGGTAGTAGGTGAAGAAGATGGGGTGTCTACTTACGGTCATGGTTCTCTTAGGGGAGAAAGGCAAATCTCCGTTCTCGTATTTGCGCTTCCCCAGTTTGGCGATATTTGCTCTACTGGAGCTTGCTTCTATGATACCTATGAGATGCGATAACGCAGGATACGGAAGTGGGGGAGGAGGTAGTAAAGGTTGGACGAGTGGACGAGTGGACGAGGCAACGATGGGAGGATGGGAGGATCAAAATGTACCCAAATAGAAGAAACCGACAACCCCACCACCAATACCAACAACCAACAACGAGGCTAGGCTGACGGATCAATCAGGCGGATAGATACGAAATGACGTAGTTGTTAACTGGCCAAAAAGAAAAGTGTTGGTAATATCGTGAGAGGAAAAGACCAGCTTTAAAAGAAGACGGTTAATGTTTTAAGGACACTTCTTCGAATAGGTTCGACTTCTTACGGCGACTGTAGTTTTAATGGGAAAGGGGAAAGGTTACTAAGGCAAGGTAGAAGATAGAAAGCTCTTGCACGTTTCCCGCCTTCCAAGAGCTAGCAGTTTGCCCGCCGGGTGCCTGTCTGAGGGCGGCATGATTTCTCAGCAAATCATGCACCGTCATGTCATGGTGGGGTTAAACGTGGCTAAACGTGGCTCAGCATTCAGGTACAGTGGATATGTACTTCTCACAGGTACACCAGGTGTGGCGCATACCTAGGTCGTAACTCTTCTTCACGTTTCCATAGAAATGTTGCCGCCACTGTTTCACAGGTATACACTCCACTTGTATTAAAACAAATCAACCTAGACTTTGAAAGGCCTTAGATATATTACTTTAGGAATAGTATAAAGGTTTCAGCTAATCATATAATATATTTAAATGAGCAACGTACCGTGTCTCGCTAGCAATTGAGGACATAAGTTGACGGGGAGGGTGGCCTCTTTTTTCTTTCTTTATCTAACTAATAATAACTAATAACTCGTATACTTTCTCTTTTTCCTATTCATACGCCCACAACCAAGCCCATAATAGCATAACGCTTACACGTACTAGTAGTAAGCCCATAACAGTAATACTTAAAACACAATAGACTGCTGATAAGTTAGGTAACTACCTAAGGTATAATTTGTCATCTCAACATTGAGTATCATCCTCATCACTGTCTGAAGAGGACTGGTTCCTTTTCTCTCCGTAGTTGTATGTCTATCTACTCGTTAGCCCGCTTCCGTTTGTTTATACATGTTACGCAAGGATAAAAGAAGAAGGGGATAACCAACAATGTGAGACCCAACCACTCTCAAGCCGTGCTTTTGGGTACTGACGATTGCAGCGGTAACAACTCCCCGGTTATTGGAGATAGGGGCATGGTAGTTAGTTGAGCCAATGTTTACGCCGCCGGCCTAGGAGTAAAGGTAGTTAGTTAGTTAGCCCTCTGCTTCACCCCCTTTCTTAATCATGCTATAAAACAAGTACTCATGACGAACCGTCTGATTTTCCGCAGCCTTTCGATCAAGATCCTGGATCCATCTGAACAACTTGTCCGAGATGCTAATGAATCCCGGTCGGTATTCCCCGTCAAACTTAGGCATGCTGGCATGATTCTTTTCAATGGAGACGGGTGCGATACCCGGCAGCGTAGCCGAGGCTTTGTCTACTATGAACCCTATACTCTTCTTCTTCACATAGGTCGGCAGTCCCTCGAAGTAACAGGCAATCTCGATCCAAGGGGGCGTTCGATCTCTCGCCTTGATCAGCTGGGCAAAATTGTTGTTGATCTCGACTAGAGCCTTGGATCTCTCTTCCAGGTCTTTGATTAGGTCCGCGTTGGTAGTCGAAATTACAGACATCAGCTTAGTTGCAATCTCTGCCCATCTCGCTTGCTTAGCACCAGCAAAGGGTGTCCCTAGGAAGATCATCCCGCACACCTTCGCTATCAGGTCCTTCTTGGCTGCGTCGACACCCAGCTGTTTGGAGACTGCATTTGCACAGACAATACCGCCGAGGCTATGGGCTACGAAGATGAGAGGCCGGTCTGTCTATGAGGATCGTCAGTACATACACACCCAACAATGAGGACGTCCCGAACGTGACCAGCGGGGCGGGCAGGCGAAAAGGAAGGCAAGTAATAAATATGCGGATGAAGAAAGGAGAGTTGGGGGATGCTTAGCCTCCCGCGACTACGCCATGAATGTGCAACTCACACTACTCGTCCGAGTTCTCAGACCAATCAAGTCATCGAACAGAGCGGAAGAATGATTATCAATAGTTGTTGTAGGGGGCACATGCTTTGGCCCAAAGAGGGGATAGAAATGGGCAATCGAGGCGTTGTAGCCGAACGAGAGAATCCGAGCGTTGGGACATTTGGAAGGAAGAAGATCCCTAGGCCAGAAAACAGAGATTGGGTTCTCATCGCTAGGATCAGACGTCCAAGTCGTGACTCTATTGCCATTCAGACCGTGGACAAAGACAATGCTGTAATAGTAACCCAGACAGTTAGAATATTTGCATTCGGACTTATGTAACACAATCAAGAGTCTCTTACTCGACTTTGGCATCCTTAGGGTCGGCTAGGGTATTTCCAAGTCCATAAGCATCCTCCATTGTAGAGCTTCTATGAGGTTATCGGACCGTAATAAGTAGTGGTTAGTAGCTGAAGTAGTAGGTGTATTTGTGATTGTGTCTGATGGGCGAGACTTAGTATAGTGATCAGACATTCTGCGAGGAATTTGAAGAAATCTCTCGTCCATTTATGGGATAGATATTCCGCAAGGCTCTGAGTGGCGTCTACTGATTTGGTTACCGAACCTAGTCAGCGTACTCGTCTACCACATCCGCCGCGTGTCCCAGCCACCCACCCCCTTTCGTTCAAATTTTTATACGCCGCTTATTATTGCAATACCCCCTCCGCCCCTAGTTTCCCATTATTAAGCGACTAAGAGAATAGAAAATCCCGCATCAATTGGAGACGTTATCTGTTGGAGGTGATGCGGCTGAAATTCAGGTCCCCGAGAAGGTATCGGATGTCCAACCACTCTTGGCACACCCAAGGAGCCTCCTGGTCCTCTTTGAAGTTGCCCCCCCGGGTTTACTGCTAGTCCATTATCGATGCTAATAAATGATAGACGTACCAGTGCCTTCCCAAATAAAATTATTTTCCTGTTGGAATGCATAGTCATTTTATGTTCCCTCTTTTCCAACATTATAAGTCAAGAAAGAGTTCTCTTTAAGCACGGATCTCGATGGCCGACACGACCAAGCTACTCGATAGGGAACTCCCATCTTCAACGGCAATGGTCAACCAACCTATCAATGGATACCTCTCTCCAGGAACCATTGGGGAAAATAGCGGGATCTATGCAGGAATAGTCCACGGGGGCAGTCTCATTGGTGAGCTTCGCATCACAGCAATAAAAACTAGTAGATACTGATGCCATCGTCTTCGATAGGAACACAGAATGGTTAGCGAATTAGACTAATTGTCACATCGAGACAGCCAGCTAACACTAATAAGTTCACAATCACGCACCGGCCCCGGATTCTACGGCAACAAAGACCCGATCTGACATCTTAAATTGGCTCTGCCCTCAGGACGCCCTAGTAGCGATGAAGTCACCCGTTCAAGGTCAGGATCACAAGCGAGCTCATCCTAAGGCTGGAAATAGATTCTTAGAGTCGACCGAGTTTCAAGACTGGCTTTCCATGAAGGAAAAAAGACTCTGGGGTACTGGTCCACGTAGGTCACACCCTAAGAAACCTTGGATAGGCATATATTTTAACTAATTACCTACTGCAGCGGGTGCTGGCAAGACGTTTCTAGTGTAAGAATCAGGCTTTCGATGTCATGAGATATCTTAAGAAGCTACTGACGGCCCTGGGCAGCTCAAGAATCCAACGCAGGATGTATGAGCTTCAGCAGGGATTTACATCTAATGGCGGCAAATCCGGAACCGCGTTCCTCTATATGCATCATAACCGTTCATACTCCTGCGAGAAACTCCTCGGCTGTATATTGCGCCAGTTTATTGATGATAAGGATGAAATCCCCAGCACGATTCGAAACGAGTGGGGTGTGCACTCGGGAAGCAAAACAACAATTACAGCGGACAGACTTGTACAGCTCATAAGGGACATTGCGACCAACCACAAACTATATCTTGTCGTGGACGCGTGGGATGAATACGCTCCCATGGATCGAGAGCGGCTTCTTAAGCAACTCATGGAGTTGGGTGGCTGTCTCGCTCTACTAATGACCTCGAGATTCATTGGAGATCTCGACAAAGGCTTAGAAGGCTTCAAACGTGTAAACATCTCGGCAAACGAGGAAGATATTCGAAACTATGTGAATTACTGTATCAATACCAACTCTCGTCTAGCAACATTCTGTAACTTGAGCTCAGAGCTAAGGCACGAGATCCGAGGTGTCATAATTGAAAAATCAGGGGGGATGTAAGTGCTTTCCTTTTCGCATCTTCAAAATCTGTCTGCGGGTAGACTGGTTACTGATAAATACACCCACCCACAGGTTCCTTCTTGTCCGGTTGCACATGGAGTCCCTAGAAGCCGAAGATGTGGTCACTCTCTACGACGTCCGGAAGAAACTCGCTAGCTTCAGTAACAATCTCACGGACAAATATCAAGACATGATGGATCGAATCGGCAAACAAACACTACTGCGCCAGGAGATAGCAATCAGCACCCTAGCATGGATCACGTACGCCCAAAAGTCTTTAACTGTGAATGAGCTACGACACGCCCTCGCTGTAGATCTAAAAGACGGCCGCTTCAAACCAGACAAGCAACCTCTCCCTGATGATATCCCTGCCTTCTGCTGCGGGATGGTTCTAGTGGAGAAAGGCACCCTGCAACTGGTGCATAACACTGCGATTGAATTCATGCGCAGTTTAAAGGAAACGGACGAGCGCTTCATAAATTTTGACGCCACCATCTCTCACGTCTGCGCTGCCTATCTGTGCATCCCTGAGCTTGAACAGCCTGACGACACCGATAACAGTATGTCCTATGCTACTGACTTATGGGGCGCGACACCAAATATGTACGATGATACAGAGATCTTCATGATACAGAGCGGTAAGAACACCAAGCATCTGGGCAACAAACGGACTCCAGAGAAGCTTACCTTCCCTGCGAAACTCCGATTATACCCATTGGTTATATACGCGGCAACACACTTAGGCCACCACCTTCGAGCCATGTCAGATGTTAACCTCGTCACTGAGAGTGATGCTCTGAACAAGGTCATCTCCATCCTCAAAGAGAAGCCTAAGCGCAATTTCTACGAGAGATTGCTGGACTATACAAGCTCTTACCCTCCTCAAGCCTTATCACAGCAAAGGTTTTCTCTCTTAAGTGTCGAGTCGGAATCGGAGTCCGAGCTCGAGTTCGATCCTGAGCCTCATATAGATAACTCGTCCTGGCCTAGTAGTGTCGATGAATGTGACCCTCTACTGACACGACAGAGTGCCAACTCTGGGGCACGCCTCGCCTCTCTTAATGCGGAAACGACTAATGTGGCGATGTCAGCATGTCGAGAGATAACTTCCCTTCACCTTGCCGCCTACCTCGGTGTCCCACAACTTGCCAAGCAGCTCCTTTCGGATCCATCTCTGGTCCATGTGAAGGACTTCGATGGTTGCACCCCGCTATCTATCGCCCTCGCAGCATGCCACATCGAGACGGCTCTACTAATTCTTGAAGCTGGTGCAACACTGGACCTCTTTTCGACCGAGGGATGCCATCTGCTACTCCTTGCTGCCCAATCAGACTCTTCGGCCAGCATTGTGGTACGCCGTATCCTCAAAGAAGCTCTCCTCATTCGTGGTCAAGGCAAGAATTTTGTAATTGAGTTTCTTAGCTGGCTGTGGCGCTTCAGCGCGACTAAGGCGGTATACTATTCGGCCAAAGTTGCGAGAAATTGCCGAAAGGGGTGGACGAGAGTGACTCAGGAGCGACGTGGAGAGCCAAGTCACTTGGAAAGGACACTACAAATAGCTCAAGGCCATGCTCTAGGCGTACCAACGTCATTTCCTGCGAGAAGGGGGACGATTACCTTCGTAGACCTACCAGTGGACGGAGAGACGGGCCCCAGTTCATCTTTGTCCTCGCACACATTGCGGAGAAGACGACCGGCTAGAACAGTGAGCGAGGCGGTCCTGTCCCCCAGTGAATATGCGAAGCGAAATTATCTAAAGCTAGTAGCTGCGGCCTTCCAAAACGATACAATGACCATGAGGAGCTTGATCGAGAAGAGGCGAGTAAATCTCGACAGGAGTGTAAGGCATCAGCGTTGCTATTGGCCGCTAGTTAACCTAGCTCTCTTCATGGCCGTAGAGCGCAAAGAGATTGATGGGGTGAAGATTTTAGTGGAGGGAGGAGTCGACGTTAATTCCCAGGACTACGACCTCCGTACGCCGCTTCACCGGGCCGTCGCACGACGAAAATCCAAATTAGTCAGGTTCTTACTGGAAAAGAATGCGAATGTGAATGCCAAAGATGGCAGGGGAGACACCCCATGGGTCCTAGCCGTCATTAACAGGGACGAAGATAGTACGTGCTTCATCATCATCATCATCACTTACGAGCTCTAACAAATTGTGATAACAGTGTCAAAACTCCTCATCCAGCACGGGGCAGACGTGAACACCCAGGGCCCAGATGGGAATAATTTGCTCTACAGTGCGGCAGCCTGTGGAAATATCAGCGACGTGCGATTTCTCCTCAGCCAGAGGGTAAACCCTTCCATAACCACGAATTATTTCTGGGCGCCTCTCCACTGGGCGTCAGCAAATGGACATATCGACTGTGTCAAGTTACTCCTTGACGCCGGGGCCGAGGTGTCGCCGGTGAGCGACACGGCTCTAACGCCTCTAGACCTAGCCATCGAAGGCAGGAAGGTCGATATCGAGCAGCTGCTGAGGAGCAAGGGCGCTAAACGCGGCGATGAGATTAGGGAAGAACACGGTGGTCCGAGATACTCATACCGGTACGGATCAGAGAGCGAGGATGACGAAGACGAGAACGAGGAAGAAGAGGAAGAAGAGGATGAGGAAGGTGAAGATTATTTCGGCACGGCTTCCTTACAAAGAGAATAAAATAGCCCTACCTAGTTGACTATAAACATTACATATTGCGCTTTCCAGTTGTTATTATCACAAAACCGATACGTATTTGAAAAGGAGAAAAGAAAAACTGCCAGCTAAACAAAATGATATTAACATGTTTGAAAAGTCAATTAATATCAATATAATAATTTTAATAAAAAAAACGAAACCTTTTAAAGCTAGGTAGGTAGTCTTAATTCTAATATAATTATATATAAGGTAATTTAATCCTAAAACTACCCCTTTCCCCCTTTTTTAGTTATTCTTATCTTATATAAGAGGTAGGTACCCTCTTTTCAATAGCAGCGAGACAACATGTAAGAGTATAAGAATGTCTTTTTGCAAAACATCGTGACTTAATCTTGTTCCACCCATCGTACAAACCTCCTTATCACATATTTTCATTCATATGCACTTTCAGCAAGGAAACGAATAAATGTCTTGTCACGTCCCACGTCCTGGTTGAGATTAAACTGAAACTGTTTAGTTTGAATTCATTCCATTGAGCCTTAGATCAACACTAGAAGCTAGAACGACGGCCCATTGCCCTCAGCTAAACCCTCCTTCGCAGAAAAGCGTCTAGTATACGCACCCTATTCCCGACCCCAGATAATTATATACCTCATCCTGTATGTATAACTGGCTGCTCCTTGCCTCGGTCCAGTGTTCATCAGTAGAAACCCAATTAAGCCTCATTAAGTAGAGTCCTCAACTCATTCTATATTCCATAAATCATCAGTCGTGCGCCGTTGTGACGGGTCTCTCGTTTAATGAGCGTGAAAACCTCGGAGGCATCGAATAATTATGTTTCCTGTACCATGCAAATGCTAAGTCCCTGGCAGAACCGTTATTCCTATACCGCCGTAGTGAGTGTGAGAATGAGTAAACCTGTCCGCGCGCCGTTTCACTGTCCTTCCGATGTCATTCCATGCTGCTAACCACGTAGTTATTAAGGCGATGTAATGCTACGGCCGAGAAATCTAATTGGCCTAAAGGATGGATGCGAATCGAATATTTATAAGTTTTTTTCTCTCTCTCTTTGGATATTAAGTTAAAATATGAAGTATATCTCTAAGCGCATCAGAGGAAGAATAATAATATAAGGGCGAGGATGGAATTAGATGTAGCTCCGCCGTTTAAAACGGCGGGCGCCCCAGCTGTGGAAACCGGATTCGGCGCCGTTGTGCTGCCCGGTACTGTAGCAGGCGATGTTACCGTAGGCGTTGCCGTAGACGTGATGCTGCTACTCGCTGACGAAGTAGGAGCAGGTGCTGGAGTCGAGTTAGATTCTCCATTACTGCTGCTGGTGCTTGTTGTACTCGACGTCTCAGTAGAGGTGCTAGCTCCCGAAGACGAGGAAGTGAGGATTTCTGAAGAGCTGAGAGAAGAGAAAGTGCTCTCCGAAAAGCCAGAAGAAGATATACCTTCCGTTGGACTAGAAGTAGAAGAAGCTGTGCTCTCGGAAGAGCTAATAGGAGTTGTTGCTTCTGAAGAGCTAGAAGAAGAAGAAGTAGAAGAAGGAGATGTGCTCCTCGACGAGCTGGAAGTAGAAGAAGACGAAGACGTTCCTTCTGAAGAGCTGGAAGAAGACGTACTCTCGGATGTAGAAGACGTACCCTCGGATGTAGAAGACGTACTCTCGGATGTAGAAGACGAGCTTTCGGGAGTAGAAGACGACGTGGCTGAGAAAGTTGGTGTGTTTGAAACTACACCAGTCGAGGTGTTCGGCGGAGCTCCACTACCTGTAGATCCTCTGGGAGTGCTTGTGACCTCTTTCTCAGGGGCACTTTGGCTCGAAGAGACGGGAGTAGGGTTGTGTACATCGCAGTAATAGAGCCATTGATTCATTCGATCATCTGCGTAGTTCTTGGTACCGGCTTTCCACGTTCCCCCGTTATTTACAATGCAGGTCTGGCAGACTCGACGGTATTGCATGAATACAGAGTCTGTGGTGCAAAGCTGGGGTACCTTTCCAACACTCTGGGCCTCTATAACAGCGTTGTTGCAAGTGGAATAGCAAGTAGATGGTAACGTCTCATCGCGTTTATTAAAAGGTAGGAATTTCCTCACTATCGCTGTTGGATAACCCGGCTCTGGTGTGCTCGAGGGCGGGTATGCCGTAATACTCGTCTGTGATTCATAGTCGCCTGTAGAGGTCCAGATAGTGGTGGTTATGCCCGAGATAGTCTCTTTAAGCAATTCGAGCTTGGGAGGATCAAATATATCATAGCTTAACCCAAAAGCCGGCGGTGCAAGGTCAAAGTAGCCGTCCGTAGGAGGATAGTACCCTGTTTCATTATCACACCATTGAACGGGGGTATAAACTGGTGCTGGTATACAATAGCTCTGGCTCTCGCAAACGTATTCTTGATCCGGAAGATCAGGCCAGATACTACACCCATTCGGCTTTGGAGGAGAACAGACGGTTCCAGGTGGACATCCCCAAGTCAAGTCGGATGAGGCGTTATAAGCAGGTACGTTGAAGGTCGGAGAGTTGGTCGCCGCGGGACAGACAGACGAAGTGACGGTGGTTGGTGGTACTGTAGTGGTAATATACTCCGGTACTATAGTAGTAATAAATTGCGTCGTAATGAAAGTTGTAGTACTTAGCACCGAATCGGTAACTGAGATCTCCGAAACGGTGAGAAACGTAGTAGTAGATATCACAGTAACAAACAATGTAGTCTCTTCAGTTGCAGTCACGGTAGCAGTGTCCGTAGTTGCTGAAGCTGAAACGGACACAGCAGTTGTCGTTAGGGTGTCCGTGAGCGTCGACAGAATGCTTGTTGTATATATCGAGATACTTGTGTAGGTTGACGTGCTATATTCAGTCGTGGTCAATGTTCTGTCGGATATAACCGTGGTTGGGATCTCGGTTGTGAAGGTGAGAGTAGCCGTAGTGACAGTAGGTACGAGAGATGTATAAGTCGTCGTCGTCGTCTCTATGTCAGTAAGTGTAGCGGTCGTCGTCTCCTCATCGGTAGTAGTGGTTAAGGAGATAATAGTCTGGTTATTAGTACGCGTAACACTATTAGTACGCGTAACATTATTAGTGCGCGTAACAGAGATAGTAATGGTCCTCGAGTCGGTAACAGTCTCTGTATCTGTCTCTGTCTCTGTCTCTGTCTCTGTCTCTGTGTCCGTTACTGTATCCGTCACCGTGTAACTATAACTGACAGTATCGAATACGGTAGTAACGCCGCTTCACTAAGTGTTAGCTATCTCATAGCTTCATATATAACCAGTATTACTTACTAGACTGTAGTAGTTTCCGTTTCGTAGCAGATCTCCGTAGTCGTCTCCGTAGCCGTCTCCGTAGTCGTTTCGTAACAAGTTTCGGTAACTGTTTTCGGTTTACAGGAGGGCCAATGCGCTTCGGAGAGAGAAGCTTGCGCTCTTGTGAGCCAAGTTAGGGCGATGACCGACAAGGCCCCAAACCGATGGACCAAAACCATTATAGCGCAGATGAGCGTTGTTAAATTGGTTGATTGCGCCTCAGGATGTTGAACGAACCCCCGATTTTAGGATGTGTCTTCGTAGCGAGCGTCCGTCCGTCTATAGCGAGCGACTCTTGTATCAAGAGCTTAACGGTAAGTTGAAGGAGAAAACTACCGATGAGGAAGATGCTTTGTAGCTCACAGCTTATATCTATGAACAAAATAGATACTGGCGAGGTAAGCGAGGCTTTGAGTTCCTTTCAGCTAAAATCCGAACAACTAACTGGGCGATATTTCTAAGAGCTGACTAGCATGGGGCCTAGTAGACTTATCCTAGACGATTCTCTTATAGCTGAACTTCAACGAACGTCGTTAGCTCAGTAACAGGCAGCTGGTTTACCCTTTCTAGCTCAAGGCTAAGGCGTGTCCTAATTGCTTGTACATAGAGCTGCTGTCTACGAGAAACAGAAGCAGAAACGTAGTTCCATGAAATAGAAAGCTATGGGGTAGCTCTAAAAGAGGGACAGCAGCATGGATAAGGCTGAGAGCGAGAGTAGGCGGGAACAGCAATGTCAACACGAGCCATTGGAATCGACAGGTACCAAGCTTAGTTGCATATCAAGTACAGAATACGGATCAAGTCTGCATGCGTAAAATCCCCACGACAGTCGTGTGTAACCTGGTATCCCTGCGAAGAAAAAAAGCCCGTCAGCCCGCCAGTTGCACCCCTGGACACGATTGTGTGGAGGAGGGTGCCGATGTATTGTACATCGATGTTGGTACCACTACCCCGGACCGCCATATTCGAGTTCTCAGCTAGCCTTCGCGGCGAGCAATAAGAATCCAGAACCATCTACTCCGAGTACTAATAATTTACCTTGAAACATTGCGAGCAACAGTAGACGATGTAGAGCTCAAAGTTAATAGGAAGGCAAATTGCAAGGTGACATACTGTATTGAATAAGAAACTGGAGCAATACAAAAAGGCGGACAAGCACAAAAGTGCGTGGCCAAGTCCGCAATAAGCGAAGCGGATGCCAGGACGAGGTATGCAGGTTAGCAAGGCATTTGAGGGACGAGGCTCTTCTGCAACCAACAGAGAGCAGCCGCACAACGCATCGGACTACAAACCCAAGTACCTAACAAGGGTCTAGGCAAGGGGCGATAACGGGTCGAGATACTGGGCATGGGTCAGGATACGAAGGCGGGGCATGTGGTGTATACCATCGTGCATTGCGTATCGTATACTATACAGCACAATAGTCTATACAACCTCTCATTGAGGTAGGTAGTTGCCAAGCCCGAGATCGTGCGTAAGGCGGGTCTCTTGGGACGGGACTGCAGGGGTCCTTGAAGGATGAGTGGACGGATTCAATGTTCGCTGCATCTTGTCACGTCTACCATAGCCAACGGCAACGTACCCTGAGGTGAAGACCGAGCAGAGAGTGCGTAGTACCATCGTTCGTATGCCTTAGGTAGGATTGCCACTTGTTGATACCTAATAAGAGGCTTGTGGAAGCAGTACTTGCAGGATCGAAAGAAGACTGACTATTAGATCCAGCCAATAGGGTGGCAGTGTCATCATCTTTGCCAAAATATTAATAAATTTGATAGACGTGCCGCTCGTTACACAAATCGGCGGTATCGAAGACTCTCTTACCCAAGGTCGCTATGTAGGTCGCGGACAGATGGGCATACTTGGTTATTTTCCCGGTTTTCCAGGCACGACTTCTTGTACTTAAAGCCAATGCCCCGCGATTACGGGAATCATGATGAATCCTCTCGACTCCTTGAATCAGCTATACCTCGGTAAGATGAGATAGAACGTAGCTATAGTCGTATGATGATGAAAGATGAAATATTAACATATTGGCAAGATACCTAATTGGTAGAAATCACCTCACTCGTATACCTATCCTTCGTACGAAGGATTCTTAAGAGGCCGCGAGGTGTGCTCGGACAACCTGGAAGACAGACCACATACGGGAGGTGCCCAATCTCGAAGAAGCCGGGCGGGGTAGGTTGAAATCTCGTCACTTACATACGGGTGTGTAGTACCCGTTGTACCGTTCCAGCCATGTGGGATGGATCAGACGTTAGGAGGCGTAAGGTAGAATGTATCGTGGTAAGCTTACCGCGGAGATGGACTGGGTCGTAAGAATCTCTTTTGTGTAGGTAGTGTTAGTCTATCCGTCTCTCTGTGCAACTGTGTAAAAGTCTCTGGAGATAATTGGGAGCACCACCGAGTGAACAAGGCTTCGATACGGCGGGGTCAGGTTACCTGAGCAAGAAATAAAAAGAATTGAAAATTAGCGCGTAAAAAGCTTAGTGTGGTGATGCAGAGAATTTCTATCAAGAATTCTTCTAACTTGTTAAGGTTATAGATTACGTCTATCCCGACAGTTTTAGTCTAGGATCACCGAAAGTTGCGGTTTAGTTACTAGTTAATTAGACAGTTGTATTAGATAATAGATCCATAACGAGCACTACATAGGTACCTACATAGGTACCTAAGGGACTGATGATAGGTATGTGATAATGGTGGTTAGAATGATGTTATATTGGTAAAGATTCTGGTACCCCACTTCTAATTAGGAGAAATCTTATATACCATAGCAGAGCTTGGTGGGTCTATACAACTATTCCGATTTTTAATATTATTTTATATACGGATATCATTGTAATCAGGTTGGTACATTCTATAAAATAAAATGATTCTAAAAAGTGGAATGGTTTCGTAAAATAGAACGATTTTGCTATTCACGTGACTTTCACGTGACCTCCACGTGATTTTCACGTGAAAAATGGGGCAAAAGTCAAAAAAAGTCAAAAAATCAGAAAGACTGGTCCTCGAACCCACAGCTCTTGCGTTTGTGTAACCATAAACCCCACAATTAATTAGAAGGTTGAAAGTTTAAAGTTTAAACGTTTGAGCTAATGGGACAAGGTGGCCAATCTCATCGAATTATTTCGGAATAAAAATTTCATTAATTTTAGCCCTTATAACCTTTACTTCGGAAAAAGTACAATTTTAACTTAGAAAAAAAAAATTTTAAAATTTTTTTTTTTTTTACTTTTTACAACAAAAACAATTAGAACAATTGTAATACAAGTAACGATTGTATAAAATGGAATGGTTTTACGGTTGGAGAACGGTTTTTACAACGTAAAAATTTAAAAATAAAAATCAGCCCCACTAATATCCGGATCCAACCAATCAGAGGCCTTAAAACTTAAAAACGTTGCACCATTTCGTGGGTAGAACCGTTCCCTGAAACCCCCCACCTCCGCTATGGTACCTAGGTACCTAATGCACTTATGCATTGCACCTTCCAACAGGACCTAACAGCCCTAAGGATATCAAATTGCTAAGTGGGAAACGAAAGTCCCTCACATTAGGTACCTCACTAACTACCTCCTAGTCGAAGTCGGGGATCGGACAATGTTTTTTCTCCACTTCAGCCATTCTTTTCTCTTTAAGCACCTCCAACCCTCCAACAAAACGGAATCTTCGCCAAGGTTACAAGCTACTCTATTTATATTGTGCTAATACAGGGTTACTTTTAGTTCCAGAGAGTTGGGAGAGCCAGTTATTGTCTTCCATACAGTCATACGAATAAGACCCGAAGACTGGTTCCCTAGTCCGACATCTAGCCTGGTTTGCAACGTCTCTTTGCAACGTCTCTCTTCTTTCTCGGCTGGCGATACCTTATTCGTTCTGGTCAAGAGTTGCCGATATGGCTCTACCGATATCGAATACATCCCTAAATGTTCTCCATGAGAATGGCTACATAGTAGGTAGTTGGGTATATGGTATGCGGATTGATCAACTCTAAATATGCGCGAACGAGTGACCAAAGTTCCCCTCATTCCGATTCTGAAGTTGTATCGACAACTCATACTACCTCGACCTAATTCAATAGTGTATGCATCGAGCTTGTCTGCAGCAAGGATATGACTTCGTCCAATGAGAATACGGTAAGGACATTCTCACGTTATTTACATGCCAATCGAAAGAAGCTATCTTACAAGGATAATTCTTACATGTGTGTCTCTTCATCTATGTCTTCGACGTTCCATTGGAAGCTGGCTCGGTCGTCTTATCCAATGTTATGACCATCGTACATCTTATTGACTCTTACGTACAGATTCTCAGCTCCAATTCTTGCATTTTTCTCTTAGACTCGGCACAATTGCCGTATTCTCAGGTGTAACTACCATGGCTTAGTTGCGTGCTATGTTGCATGATGGTTCAAGACAAGAAGAAACATGCTAATATCGATTGTTCCTCTTACGCTTATTCTTGTCGACACATAGATACTATGTCACGTCAAGCCGGTAGTATCTGCGGCCAAAGACAAGGCTGAGTCTTCGAGTGAGCTGACCTAGTCGGTCCAGTCTACCCGGCCACCCTCCACTGGTGGCCATGTAAATGCGGGAAAGTCATTCTCGGCTCTCGAACCTCTGCGGGAGAGAGGCAAAGTCTTAACCTAGGCTCTTTGTCCTTCTAGTCGTCTATTTAGATTGATGTGCAACTATCAACCCTCCAATCACTACAGGTAGATCCCCACGGAGATTGTTTCTACTTGGTATCACTTGACTAGCAAGATTCCAATAATCTACCGCGAACCCGAGTAGCTTTGAGAGATCTTTTTGTTCCGTCACGTTCTGACTTTATTTTACCACGTTTTTACGCCCGTGGCCACCGTGTGGGCCTCATTTGTTGGCTATTCTAGACAAAGAACGGTTCCCTTCAACCTTCCAGATTCGTCTTGATCTTTATTTCCTCGGCCGTCACCTTACGCGACAAATCCCTTAGGTGTTAGTATCTTGGCAACCCAAACTCAAGGCTGTCATTGATTCTTAGTTCTATATTGTACCAAGTATTTCATTGTTGTGGTGACTTTGCCTCAAGTTGGTCTGATGGGTGTCCAACCCGCAAATTCAATCCCTGTCGCGAAATGAGCCTCACTCATATTTTCAATTCTCTCCTCAACTAAACCATTCGCCGTATTTCTCATAATCGGCAAACATAGCAACAACACACGATGTATCGGTCTAGAATATCCTGGTTAGCCTTTGCCATGAGATGGCTGGCTGTATCTGTCCATGGCCAGCTTTCGGGATGGATAGAAAATCAGCAGAACGCAACTATGTGTCTATGGGACATGTTTCGGAGTAAGACTCTATTTTAGCCTGATTTATCGCAGATAACTAATACATGAGTAGTTGCTACGCTCGGAGATACAGTCTATATAGATGGCGGTCAAATATACTGGGTTGCAGGTCTCACAGATGGATCAATAACGACAGTGCCAGATGGTAAGGCGTATTACAGTATATCTTGTTCAAGTACGTTTTATTCTAACTATTCATCTCTAGACAATCTTCTAGGTCGAATCTACAAGTTCAACTTTAGTACGCCCTTCAACACAAGCTCGAATTTCTCGGAAATTCTCACCCAAAACCCCATAGCAACGGGCCCTAATGGTGACGCTGCGAACAATTTAGCTCCTAATTATTACGGCGGAGCATTACTCGCCAATGACCATGAATTCTTCACATATGGTGGCTTAATAAGGCTAGCTAGTGAAGAATCACCGCCAGGTGCCGATGCCACGGTCGAATATGTGGCGTCGCTATACGGAGCCGATAAGCCTAGTTTCAATACGGGGCTCCGTTATAGAGAGCTCCCTGACGGCGTGACTCGATATGTTACGAACGGGGGCGCAGCCAGTTCCCCGTCTGAGAATAAGGCATGGTTTTTTGGAGGGTATCGCTCCGAATCTTTTGGCCCAATTTACAGCGGTGCCCCTAGTGAAAATGTCACAGCGTCAAATACGTCAGATTACCTTATTACTCTAGATATGGCCACCCAAACACAAGAGACTTGGGATAACACGACTCTCGGTCAACATACCCCAAGCCGTGCGGACCCTTCCGTAGTCTGGGTTCCTGTTGGTGAGCAGGGCATTCTAGTAGTAATGGGTGGTGTTACATACCCTGGCTACCTAAACGCCGATATGCTCTCTACGAATGAGGCGCAAAGTGTAAGTACATCCATTAGGTTTCTGAAGATAACATCACTGACTTGCTAGCAGAAAAAGGACAGCCCAGGCTTCATGAGAAACATTGACATTTATGATGTTGCGAGCAAAAAATGGTATCAACAGCCAACCGATGGTAGTCCACCCCAACTTGCGAGGGGATGCGCGGTAGTTGCCCCTGCTGAAGACTACTCAAGCTTCAACATCTACTATTACGGAGGTTATGATGGGCTTGATGATGGAGGTCAGTTTTACGACGATGTATGGATCCTAACGCTGCCATCATTCATGTGGATGAAGGTATATTCCGGCACGCCCGAACATGGTCGGGCTGGTCACCAATGCGTTATGCCTTACCCAGACCAGATGATAGTCATTGGGGGCCGCCGAGCAAATATAGGCACGGGTGGTCCTTCATGCCTCGATGGTGAGAACCCGGGAATTCTCCAAGTTTATAACCTCACGGAAAATCACTGGATGGATTCATACGACCCAACCAGCTGGAATCATTATGGGGTTCCCCAGATGATTCACGCTATGATAGGGGGTGACGCCTCTGGTGGTGCAACAGTGACTGCCCCGAGTCCCTCAGGCTGGGAGGATCCTGAACTTGGGAAAGTCTTCGCTACTGCATATCCCACGTCAAAATTGATTACGCACTACCCTTACAGCACCGTGGGCGCTGGCAATGATACTCGGGGCATGTACGGAGGTGATGGAGGAGGAGGAGGAGGCACGCCTTCTTGGGTAGCACCTGTATTGGGTGTAGTCCTTGGCCTTATATTTGTCACGGCAGTCGTTGTTGGGATTATCCTGTATAGGAGACGGAAATATTTGAAAAAGAACGGCAGCGAGCCCTCGACTGATGAAAACGGCAACAGGATCTTATCATGGATGCAAGGCCAGAGCAATGGTAAGGCACCAACGATCACTACTGATGACGCTCGCACTCAATGCGACGAGTTGGAATGTCGAGGCATTACACCTGCGCGGTCAACGCCCGGGCCAGAAATGGAAATGGTCACTGAGATGCCAGAAACGTCTATTGTAGAGCTCCCGGGTATGTTTCAACGCTCGCTATGATAGCCGATTTACCTGCTAACTAAACTACTTCTATAGATACCTCGCCCCCAGCTGAACTGGCAGGAGACACGTATGCCAATTTGGGCATGGCATCTATTATCGGGACGAACGGGAAATCGCCTCTCGCCTCAAACCCGCAAACTCATTATACTCCCCATTCCATCTCCACGCCGACCAGCCACCCCGGACTTAACTCAACCCACGAGCTCTCCACAGGCGTCAGCTCCTCTCAACCCCCGAGCTACACCGCTGAACGACCCGACTCTCCCGCCCTAGGCAACAATGACGCCCGTTTTGACTCTATCGCTAACGCTATTACCACGGATGTCCCCACAACCGTGGCCCCGAATGCCGGTGCCCCTACAAGCCAAAAAGCAGTCGTCAGTGGTTTAAGCGGCATCAGCGACCGTGAGAAAGCGCACCTACGGCAAATCAGCGACGCATCGACAGACAGCCAAGTCACGACATTAGCGCCAGCGCCGCCACCAGCGTCATCGCGCCATATAATCGAATGGCTTCCGGAGGCAAGTCCCCCACTACCTGTTAGCCCGCCGAGCGTCTCAGGTGTAGATGGGGCCCCCGAAGCTCCCGATTACGTGAGCGTACCTCAGCCCACAGCGACATTAGGTACGACCAATACGGGGAGTCCACGGCCGAGCATGTTCCGCGAGAACGGGGTTGACCTAGATGAAGGCGAGAAGCGGTGATGAGTTGAAAGAACGTACTCTACTCTACCTTCGGCGGGAATTGTGCCCGGAATACACGACCTAGACAGGCACACGATAAGTTTAGGAGTAAAGGAATAATATCAGAAACTACCTAACCTACGCATATGGGCGAAAAAAGGAGAAGGCGGGAACCATGTGTTTTTTTTTTTTTTCAATGAAATTTAACTACACTGCTCAACTATAGATACCACGGCATGGGAAACACCCTGGAGGGAAAGGACGGGATACGCCGGACTGTGTTTAGGAGGTTTAGAGCCAATGCTCCGTATATAACTACCAAAAGATGTTCCTAAGAGGTAGGGACTCGACGTTGGCACATATCATTTTGGATATTCGATGACTGGACAGACACACAGGTGGAAGCAAGGGGATGGATGTCTACGGGTTCCGATGTGGAAATTACGGGATGATGTACGACATGAATTTTACAGGATAAGTATAAGTATAGTGGTTGACGGGGTCAATCAGTCGCTAAATCGATATTTCTAATGATAAACGTTAATTCAGTTGATCGGTTTCTTCATTTGCAGTGACAGTAGATTTAAGAATAGCTTCATTTATTATTATTATTCTTGTTAAGAGTCTAGGGCTGATGGTCTAAACAAGCAGGATACCATACATAGCCGTAGTTCAATACGTTCCTAGACTATACGCACACTTAATCCGATCAGAGCCCATGTCTAGACCTAGGGACATGCCCATTGGAAAGTCGGATGCGGTCATTTCCATGCTATCTAGGAATCTCCCTTCCTTAGGCCTGTAGGATTTTCCTTCTACTTGTTTGTTGATAGTCCGCATGATCCGCTCGATAGCCATGGCATATCTTGGCTTCAACAGCAAAAACATTGACAAACACGAGTAGCAGCCCCGTGACTAAGGGCCGCACTCTACCGCACTCTTGGCCCTATTGCAACAAAGGCATATTTGAATCAGGCCTTCGCCTTCTCGATGGCTCCTATCGCCGCGTCCGCTTCTATGATCCGAACATTAAAGCCGGCTGCTTTGTGCTCGCTTATTATTGCGAAAAAAGTGGTCAATGGTTTCTCAACCCTTCTTTCGGCCTGGCTTCCCTCGACCTCGCCCACGGGCTGCCCGACCCCTGGTAACGGTGCTCCCTCTACTGGATCTAGTAGTTGGGGCAGCATCGGCTTCTTCCTTCTCACTTTCCTCTTCGTCTCCCTCTTCTTCGCTCTCGTTGTCTTCAGCTTCCTCGTCGTCTTCCTCGGGTTCTTCTTCGACGTCTGGCTCTACGCTCTCTGCCTTCGCCTTCGCGGCAGCTCGTTTCTGGCTCCTAGCACCTCTTGCAGTTGGCCGACCCGCAGGACTACTGGGAAACGGAGTCTCCTGATCGGTGTCGTCGATGGTACTAGACCTTCGCGTCTTCGTCGTGGTACTACCAGCGACGCTCGCCGCATCGGCCGTGGCGTCGTGGCCTCCTCTAGTGCTGCCACGCTTGCGCTTCCTACCAGGAACCGTGTGCTTTTCGTGACTTTCCGCTTCTGCATCTGACGGGGCCGATTCTTCACCAGGTCCGGCCGCCGCGCGGGCCCACATGAGATCATGAAAGTCGTCCGCAGGTAGGTCGAAATAATTGTACTTCTGCTCAGGAGGCTCCTCATCTTGGCCTTCGGTTTCGCCCTTAACGTAGTCGAAGGCGTTATCGCGCTCGTCTATGGCATCCATATTGTAGAAAAGCCGTAGTTTGTCCCATATACATGGTATGCGCGTGTGCGTCTCGACGTCCGGATCGAACCCATGGTTGCGGAGATGTTCCGAAATAGAAATCATGCGAAAGTGTTTATGAATCCCTGTAGACAATTAGATCGCAAAATTAAAGTAAGATCCATAATTGCGCTGCGCATGGTGCGTACCCGACGGTTTCCAGCGAATAACTGCTTTAAATAGGGAAGATTCCTGATCGTCGGTCCAGAGGTTGTTGAGGATCTCAGATGGCGGAGGTAAATTAGGCTTGGAAGCTGTAGGAGTATCGGCGGCTCGAGGGGTATCTGCAGCTTGCGGCGTGTCGACATCCATGGCATCGTCATCGCGCGCGGGAGTCGACGACGCTTTTGGCGTTGACACCTCTGCTAAACCGCCGGCCTTAGACTTCCTTTTGGGAGGCATATTGGCCTTCTCGGGAGGAATTGGCTATTAAAAATTCTTCCGGTATAGTATTATTTTAATTTAATCGACCTATCACCAGGTAGGAATGTATGCCATGAAGTTAATATGTTGAAAAAAGTGAAACTGCCGAGACATGGTGATGACTGTTAAATTCAAATTAAACAGAGCTTTAGGTATGTAACTTTGAAGTAGCTTCCGATAAGAACCAGGGTCCAAGCTATACATAGGTACCTAGGTACATAAGTCTTGCGCTAAGACGATCTGTGGCTTAGAAGATCGCGGGGCAGGCGCGTTAAGGTAAGGTTGTTAAATGGCGTGGCTTGTGTTAAACGACATTTTGATGCAGTTTACGCGTTTGGTACTAAGTACCTAACACTAAGTACATACCATGATATATCGTCTTCCAATTACTTGACCATCTCATGATCCTGGAGGCCAGTATCTCAGATAGTTCTTATGGAAATGTTCTCAACCAAATACGCAAATGAATCCTATAATTTCTAAGCCAACAAGATGGCCGATGAAGACTTTGCCGACGTATTCGCGTTTCCAGATTACAACCTATCTTCAAAGTTGTTAACGCTTTCATCTGGGTCGGATAGCCAATTCTTCAATACTGATCTTCCAGATTCCAATAAGTCGGCTGAAGGCCATATTACCGTCAAGCCCGCCAACGCAGACGTTGATGGATTCTTCAAGCTGCCCGATTCACTACTACCTATAGATCTCAATGGGGTTGATGAGACAGACTACCGGATTGCCCCCATTCCCGAAACACTTCATGACGTAAATTTGCATGACCTTGATGTGTTTGACGATTCGTGGCTTTTGAAGGAAAAACCAGCAAAAGCTGAATTCGAGTACAAAACATGGGACGGTTTCTTGGTGCCTGATACTCCTCAGCCGGCACCATTATTTATCACGGAAGCCGGGCCAGGAACATATGACGCTACAATTAAACACACAGAAGATCCCCTCAATATTGGGAATTCCGAAAGCAATGTTATTCAAACCAGCCCGTATCTTACAGCCCTGTTAGGCCTTGCGTTTGGCAGAGGTTCAGTCTTTTTCACATGGGACGAGAACAAAGCTTGTTTCATTCTTAATCTAGACAAGATGAGAATCTCAGGTTACTCTTTAGAAGTCCTACAGGGCCTTCAACAGTGTTGTCTAGAATGTGGAAACACAACTCGTTTTCTTTCAACCTATGTACAAGCCATATATGAGACACGGCCGGGTGCAGTCAGGGTGGCTATCGCGAAGGCCGTGGATATGACTTTAATGACCATTCAAAAGATCCTCGGAGCCAGGGCGAGGCAAATACGGTCTCTCCTACAGTTGAAGTCACTTATCCAACCCATCCAAATAGTGCTCGCATATTTCAAAAATTTGATATTGAATGTTTCAAAGACAAGGACCGATGAGCAAGCATTATCCCTCGTCTTCGAGGAAGCTCAGTCACTAGAGCATAGCAATGCGCTCTTGAGCGAAGTTATGCGTGAAGTCCTGTCACGTGTCTCTACGCCTTGGACTCAGTTCGCAGAGAAGTGGATAGGGGTTCGAACCGAAAGAGGAGTACCATTGACCAAAGAGGATCCTGGGAACAGCTTTATCAAAGTCGGAAATATTCAGGTCGTAGACGATTTGGGATTTGAGGCCGACGAGCTCGATTACATCCTTGACGAGGAGCGTATGCCAACGTTTATTCCGAGCGAGGTGGCTTTAGTTATGTTCGAGACTGGCAAAACTCTACGGCTCCTTCGCACACATCATCCAGAACATCCAATCTGCCAGATGGAGCTTATCACCAAAAGCAACCCTCCCCCTCTCCAATGGCACTTCAATTGGAAATCCATAGAACGTTTTCAAGAAGACGTAAAAGCCTACGAGAAAAGCCTGTCCAAAAGTCTACATCATCGGCCTACAGAGGGAAGTGGTATATGTCAGCTAACGAACTCGACTGATAGTTTACCAAATGGGAATTATACTTTGCAATTTTTTGGGCACGGGGAAACTGAACTTGAAGGACAATTACTAGCTTCTATTGCAGCGCTCGATAAGCCACCAACTACAATTTCCGGGGAAGACAACTTGGCAGGATTGCTTAACGATGACTTATTCAAGACGGCAGCCATTGTCGAGCAGGAGATTTCCGACTTCTCACCGCATTGGTCATTAATACCATATTATTCTTTCGGGCCGCTCGTTGCAGCACAAGCACGAGTCATCAATCGGGAATATATGAAGCTACTCTTCAGTGCACATCACCTACGAGATCATTTATCCCTGCAAAAGCAATTCCATCTACTCGGGAACGGCATGTTCTGTAGTCGCCTTTCCCACGCATTATTTGACCCTAACCTTGACACTGCTGAACGACAGGCGGGTGTTGCTCTAAGTGGTGGTACAATGGGACTTCGCTTAAGTGGAAGAGATACTTGGCCTCCGGCCAGTTCGGAACTTCGGTTAACTTTGATGGGGGTTCTAGCAGAAAATTATCTGCCTTCGTCACCTCAGACGGTTCCTTCGATAGATGGGAAATATGATCTACCCGGCGACATTAGCTTTGGTGTACGAGATCTTTCGAGCGAGGAAATCGACAAATGCTTAGACCCCGGCTCATTGGAAGCATTGGACTTCCTTCGGCTTTCGTATAAGCCTCCTGCTCCTCTCTCACCGATTTTTGCTCCAGTGATTCTACTCAAGTACGACAAAATATTCAGGTTGTTGCTTAGAGTGCTCCGAATGCTCTATGTTGTTGAACAACTCTTTCGAGATACTCTTGCGAGGACATCTAATTGGTACCATGTCGGCAATACTTCAATACGGTTTCGCTTTGAAGCACATAATTTCGTTACAAGTATAAGCTCGTACTTCTTTGATACGGGCATTGAGATGCCATGGAAACAATTTGAAACCCGACTGGCAGATATAGAAAATAACCTTTCAAAATCAGACCTTGATTCCCAAGACGCACGAATCCTCAGCCCAGATGAGCTACGAGAAGAGCACGAACGACTACTTGATCACATCATGCATGCATTATTGCTTCGAAAACGACAACAACCGGTTATGAAATTACTAGAAGACATTTTTAGTATTATTCTAAAGTTTTCCAAATTAGCCCGCCTAGAGGCATCAGGTAATGAGGAAGGCAAAACTCAGGGCTTATCGCCCACAAGTCTTTATGATGCCTTCAAGAAGAAGGTAGACATTTTCATAACTGTATGTCGCGCTCTCCAAGAGAAGGGAGGCCTTAAAGGGAAACCGACCGCAAACGATATAATGGCGGATGATGGAAGACGTGGTGAGGACGTCAAGGAGGAGAATACCATTGATAAACTGTTGATCAAGCTTGATATGTCAGGTTATTACGGTCACTTGAGGAATTAATTACCTAAAATAAAAACATAAGATACCCCAAATGAATAAGATTCCATGACAATTGTAGTTTGACATCTGTATCTTTTTTACCCCTTTTTAGCCCCTTAATTGGCTCACCCCTTCTAAGTACACCTATAAAGTACCTGTACCTTAGCAACCCCGCATCGCGTTCCTAACGCGCAACCACGAACCCCACTACTCAAATCAGCAAGTACGTAGGTACATGTAAATTGTGTCCTTCGGCGCATAACAATTTACTTAGCTTCATCCTTCAACTTTTTATCCCTACATGCCAATTTAACAACATGTCTCGACCTGGGCCGTCGTCAGCAAGGAATCTAACCTTGACAGAGGAATTGGAGAAATTAGAACAGTCAATTACCCTCACGCTACAAGAAATTGACCACAACTTCAACAAGGCGCACCGAATTGTCACTACCAGCATCCTACCTCTCGTAGAGCAATATGGCGAGCATTCAAAAGCTGTTTGGGAAGCGTCTAAAGTATGTGCAGGTTTACAAACAGCTCGTTATACACTTATTGACTTATTGACTTACCTATTTTCTATTGTTTAGTTCTGGAAGCAATTCTTCGAAGCATCCGCCAACGTGTCTCTTTCCGGTTACGAAGAACTAGCCGGCGATGGCGAGACTACTACAGCTGAAGAGACGGCTCTAGAGGACACGACATCTAACTATAACGACGCTACTACTGAGGAGGACACGACTGACGAGCAGTCGGGCTACGCCGAGCAGCACCAGGAGCAACACGACATGCCCGATGACTCCATCCTTGACCATGCCGAGATAACGGGAAGCACACCACGGGCACCGTCTACGAAATCACTACCGCACATGAAAAAACCACAGTTTGCCGACTTCGAGTCACCCTACGAGAAGCTGCGGCGCGAACTCAAAGGCGAGAACACTATCTTTAAGGACGATTTACTTGCCGATGACGACGACACCTTAGAACTGCCAGCCCACACGAGGACAAGCAATCAATCGAGGCTACCGGATATGTCGATGACGCCGCGTTCTTCATCCTTACTAGAAGAACCAGCACCCAAGTCTGCGGCCAGCAAGCACAAAGACCCGTTACTGCACCGTATCCTCGACAAGAATTACCGACTTCAGGCTACTCCGCACAAAACCGTTGCCTTGCCGCCACAATCGCGCGGTCTCCGCGGCAGATCCCCCGCCAAGCCCGTCGAAGGAGAGGAAGACCGGACGCGCAGGGCACTATGGGCCGAGAGTCCGATGAGCTCGCCCGAGATAGCGATGCCGAAGCTGCGGAGCGACTTGTACATGTCGCCCATACGGCTAGCACGAGGTCGCCCAGCTATAAGCGATACTCCAAGAACACCAGGAGTTAGTGTGCAGACTCCGGGTACGGCAAGGAAGACGAGAGATATCTTCGCGGAGGCTAGGGATAAGGGGCTAAGCAAGGGTAAAGCCAAGAAGGATCCAGATGAGATCAACTGGGACAGTGATGACGATGACGATTTCGGTGGGATGAGCCCGCCGAAGACGATTCAGTTTGCGCTGCCGCCAAGTAAACTTATGCAGACACCTGGTAAGTCGAATTCTTTTTTTTTGTTTGTTACTATAACTCCTTTATGAAGTCTATATAGCTGTAAGATATACTGACAGGAGTAAAAAAGCACGAGAGGCAAGCAGGCGGATCGTCGACGATATTCTAATCACGGCCGGCGCGGCACCGGAGGATTCGTCCGAGTACAGCCCGACGATGGTCAAGATGAATCAGGATATCTTGGACGATACGTTCTAAGACACGGAAAATATGTTGTCGGCAATATTTATTGTTATTATAGTACGAGTAGGCACCTAGACAAAACAGAAGATACCCCTTTATTTATTACTTCCCATTCCTACCATGTTGCGCCGTTTCTTGCGCATAACTATACCAAGATATTTCCTCCCGTTCTAAGAAACATGTATTGTGTTCATCGTCCATCAATCCAGAAATACCAGGCTTTCTTGCCGGGACGTGGTCCTCATCATCCTATCTACATCTCCTCGTCCCTCCGCCGAAATAACCAGTAACCAGCCATCTCGAAAAGACGAATAAGGTGTCTCTTGCGTAGTAGTATAGCAAAGGAGCTTAGAAGTTCATCCTGACTTGGTTCCGCTGCGCGATCCGGTTCAACTCAGCTTGGGTGGGGCTAGAGCTAGAGCCGGAGCTGGAGCTGGAGCTGGAACCATCGGCTTTGCTGGACTTGTTTGAGGTGTGTTTCTTGAACAGAGCTTTGGCGCTTCCGAATGAGCTTGTGGAGAATATGGAGGCCGTGTCGGAGAAAGCAGGCTGGGCCTTTTCGACGTCGACGGCGGTTTTATCTTGTGGTTGGCTCATGGTGTCTTGTTGTGCGTAGGTTTGCTTGTCTACTGTTGAGGATGATAGGTTTATTCAGAGTAGACAACCGTGACTCTAGTAGATGTTTCCGTCGGGTTAATAAGTGAAAAGACGTAGCCGTCTAGGTCCGAGCCCCTTGCAAAACTAAGTTACTTATTTACCTAAGGTTGACGCGCTATGATGCCAGTTGGTTATTGATGATCTGATAGCTAAAAGGCAAGAAATATAGTTGTTGGGCAAGGGAGCGGGGGGACGTGTTATATCTTGGATATATATACACGATCGATATGCCCATATATATATACGTAGTCACACCCTCTATTGTATCGCGGCATACTACCGCTTTGGGTAATATATCTCACATTGTAACGAGGCAAATTAGTTTCGGATACTAGCTAATACCTCCTATCTAGACACATTATCCCGTGTGAGTCAAAGCTAAGGTCATTGAATACAAGGATAAGATAATGATAGTCGGGTTGGATATAGGTAATGATGCCAACGACTATACTCCAAGAACTCGTCATCCCAACCCATTAGACCTTAAGTGCTGACGATACCTCACTACGCAAGAGAGACGTGGAAGATGAGATCTGCCAAGAAATAGTATATGTACTCCTGGTAAAGCACCTAATACTATATGCGTACACTATGCAAATAGACCTCGCGTACATAGTATACTTCATGGGCAAGTCTGTTCTAGAAACTCAACTTATTCCTATTCGAGTACATATCCGAACACCGAGCCCCCATGCAAAACGGCCCCCAACATCACATATGTAGTATTATCAAAGACCACCAAAGCCCCCAAGGGGAAAAGATTACAAAGCAATTATTGCAACATTGCTGCCTTACAGAAATTCGTCCTAATCTCTTCCGAAGAATAGGCAGTGTAAATGTTGCCTGGGCCCCCGCAAAGCATACGTGAGTCGGTATCGTCAGCTCAGCCTCATTAAGACTAGGTAGGTTGGGTATTAGATAATATTCACATGCATTAGCTGGTCAAAAAAAAACTAGTCTTTCGGCACGCAACGTCAGTTTCTGTCCTGACTCACTCAGTCGCACTATCATGCATGCCGCTAATAGCCTTGCCAAAGCTATTTTCTTACGACGGAATCTAGAGTTGCCGGGTAAACAGGCACCGATTAGAATTCGCGTCCTAGTCTGTAGAGCTTCTACTTGGGGTAAGTAGGTCAGGTACTTGGAAGTGCTCCTCGCTAGGACATGCAGAACACGTATAGCACTGACGACATTCAAATCCACTGTCACGATGTCTTCATTTAGCATTACATGTTCCTTTCTTACGTACGTTGATTTTCCTTTTCTCTTCGCCTTATAGCACTTGTGCTCTACAGAAGACTCGTTGGCCGTGTCTGTAGAGAATACAATGTGAAATTTTCCAACGCTCGAACAACCCTTTATTTTCCCTTGCCTATCGTACCGTCTGCCAGCTCTATACGAGATGGCCGCTATGAGATGTAGTCTTATTGTGCGCTAATCATCGAATAGCTACGTGTAAGTAATTGATGGGAAATGCAGAAATGAAACAGTGCCTAAATTCAACTCTCTAGTTAAAGAGGCTTGTTAAACTGAATGCTCGTTGACGAGGCTATACTAATAAGTCCAAGTTCTGATTATAATGTTAAGATTCATATGCTCAAAGTATATGCTCTGACAACACATGAAATATATAGGCCATTATTTTTAAGTTGAATAATAGCAAATGCTATACTATTTATTCTAGTATATGAAGAGTTCTTCCCTGCCTATTGCCTACATGAACCATTTTAATATTTCAGATGATATTACAATACAATATAGGCTCAATTTGCTATCTTATATGCACTATATATCCGAAAACGCTTACCAATGTAGTATCATCTATCAGCCCATGGATGTATACTCATGTTATTGATGAAAGTTCAGAAGAATAGGTGTTTAAAAATAAGCCTCTAGTTTCGAATACCTTAATAAGGATGGGTGATCAGACGAGATAAACGGTCTTAGCATGACACTTCAACCATCGCTACATGCACGCGCTGGGATATTGTGGTCAAAGTTATATGAGTTTCGCTCAGAGGATATTCTTAACTTTAATTATCCTTGACTATAAGGTTGGTATTTGGACTTGTTGCTACCATACCGTATTCAAGGACGGTCGATGGCATTTTATTGCGTACAAAGTATCTCTAAGCCACCTTTAGGAATTTGCCTTTTGGACTTTAGGCTTCGTTATATATAAATAAGGTACTGAAGTATGTAGTTGGATGGAATGCGGTCGTCCCATGTTTCGAAGCCCTCTTTAAATCCTATGCGTATTTACCAGTGTTCGTATAAGAGTAACCTGGGACTGAAGACTAAACTTAAACTCAATATATTGTTCTATGTATAAGTTTCGTTTGATTAAGATAAGTAAGTCTTATTCAAGGTCTATAGTCGTTCGACTATAATCAGTACGAATATGAATAGACATTTATCCCCCGGCTTTTTGAACTCGAAGCCATTCTAATCTTTTTGTTAAGTGTAGCATCTGTCTTTTTCGATATCAAACTAATGATGGTAACCTTATGTTAGAGCTGAAGTCATGATTGTTCCATTATACTACGCCTGGTGGTGATAGCTTTTAGACGCTAAAGGCGTCTTGAAGTTTGGGTTGCTAATAGGAAGCCGCTCCTACGGGAATGACATGCTGGTTATGTATATAAATATGTTATTTAGATAACAGGAATGATCGACATAATGAATTCTGCATCAATTTAACCATCCCTCCGCATCCTGGCAATCCGAACTTAGGCCTTTCGTATTCGTATTCTGGTTGTTAGCAAGCTGCAAGCTTGGGCCACGAATTGAGGAGCGGTGAATAGCGGAATGAGACTTTCAGCTCCGATGATTGGCCAATTCCAAAGTAATTAAACCTGTCCTGGGCGCGGTACCTAGCTCCTCTGAGGTGACTTGCATTGCATCACCTCAGGACAGGGGCATTTTTGTCATCTTGTCATTTTTGTCAACAAAGCGCTCGTGGAATGAACCGATATGGATATAGTAGACGTATGTGAATGATCTGATGGGTAGCCATTGCGGACTCGACATCGTTCCTCTTGATAAAATGAAGACGAGAATACTCGTATGTTTAGCGTCGAGATGCGCGCAGGTACGCGCTGTTGTGGATATGTAATACTGATTTTTTTTTTTTTGCGCGAAGCAAATTACTAATGTCCATCAATGCTAATGTCAAAGTGAAGAAGGTTAGCTCCCCACATGAGACATAGTGTAGGTTAACGGGTACTTCCTACTTGCTGCATGCGTTCCAACTAGGCATGTACATGTAACTGCCCCTGCTTTATCACACACCTGTGGTACTTTCTATCTATGCGGGATTGAGAAGGGGAGTAGCTTCTGTAACATTCATACTATGCAGAGTAAGAGCGAGCAGTATAGATGCATGCATAGATCTCGGCCAACCAATCAGGTGCAAAGGGTAATGGCATTTTAGAGATGACTGGACTCAAGTTGAATCGCGATAACGCTTGAACGCAGGTACTCCTGGAAACTTAAAAACTAGGTACCTAACCTACCCAAGGCTTGTATGAATTCGTACAAGTACCGAAGGCGCGGATATCGCACTATCCGTGCATAAGATTGCGGGAGTAATGTCGATTGCAGGGGTGTGAATCATTCAGAAAATAAGGGTTCAATGTTCTGTCCGATAATCAAATATTCCCAGTCCAACAAATTTTAGTGGGTTTCTTTAGATTTCCTGCAAATATCCACCACTACCTCGCCCTTCCCTTCACCCCTTTCACCTTTTCTACTTAGGTCAACCTCTCTTTCGTGTCGAAGGGTTGTCGCCGTCCTTTAATTCTGACTTCCTCCCCCTCCATTCCTTCTCCTCTGGTGGATCTCGGGATATATTGGGCGCTTCTCCCACGACTACCTTACACAGAAGACCTCGGCGCAATATACCATATACCAAAAGCGGCCCGATACAATTCCTGCTGGCGGTCACCATGGCTGCGAATGCGACGAGTTTCACGTCGCCCTTGGCCGACTTTTCGGTCGGGGGCCTGCCTCCCCAGGTTGACTATATGGTCAACACTATCGCGAATGCGAGCGTTATGACATGGGTGTTTACTCTCATTGCCGTAGCTGTCGCGTACGATCAGAGTACGTATTAGTAATATTCTGGAGTTTGGGTATGGGCAGAATCGCGTTGGCTAACAGAGATTTAAACAGTCAGCTATTTCGTACAAAAGGGTTCTATCGTTGGACCAGCGTTCAAGCTGCCATTCATGGGCCCTTTCCTAGAGTCTCTCAATCCCAAATTCGAAGAATACAAGGCGAAGTGGTACAGCGGTCCCTTGAGCTGTGTCTCCGTCTTCCACAAGTATGCGCTTTTTCCACACCACGTCTTGTCGAGATTTATTAACCCAGTGCTAGGTTTGTTGTTATCGCTTCTACCCGCGACTTGTCTCGCAAAGTCTTCAACTCGCCGACATACGTGAAGCCATGCGTTGTTGACATCGCCACGAAAATCCTCGGAGAGGACAGCTGGGTGTTCCTAGACGGAAAGGCCCACGTTGACTATCGCAAAGGCCTGAATGGTCTCTTCACCCGACGAGCTCTCGAAAGCTACCTTCCCGGCCAGGAGGCTGTTTACAAGGAGTACTTCGCTAGATTTCTCAGGTTGACAAAAGAGGCCGGAGGAAAGCCCATCCCTTTTATGCATGAGTTCCGTGAGCTTATGTGTACCGTCTCGCTTCGAACTTTCGCCGGATACTACATGCCCGACTCTGCCTGCAAGAAGATCGCCGATGATTACTACCTAGTCACCGCTGCTCTCGATCTTGTCAACTTCCCGATCATTATTCCCTACACCCGAACCTGGTACGGCAAGCAAGCTGCACGTATGGTTATGGACGAGCTCGCCAAATGCGCTGCCAAATCAAAGGTTCGCATGGCTGCCGGTGGTGATATCACCTGCATCATGGACGCCTGGATCAAGGATATTCTCGCCTCCAAGAGATGGACCGAAGCTACTGAAAAGGGTCTCTCAACCGAAGGCATGGTAAAGCCGTCGCCCCTGTTGCGCGATTTCAGCGATATGGAAATTGCCCGAACTCTCTTCACGTTCCTCTTCGCTTCCCAAGACGCTACCTCGAGCGCAGCCACCAACATGTTCCAGGTCCTGGCCAACCGACCCGATGTTCTAGACCGCGTCCGCGAGGAGAACTACCGCGTGCGAAACGGCGACATCCATGCCCCTGTGAACCTGGATCAGCTTGAGTCGATGACATACACTCGTGCAGTCGTCAGGGAGCTTCTCCGATGGCGTCCTCCTGTCATCATGGTGCCCTACAAGGCCAAGAAGGCTTTCCCCGTTACCGAGAACTATACCGTCCCCAAGGGTGCCATGATCATCCCAACTACATATGTCGCTCTTCGTGATCCTGAAGTATACGAGAACCCCGACGAGTTCGATCCTGAGCGATACTATACTGGTGACGCTGAGGAGAAGGGTGCCAAGAACTACCTCGTTTTCGGAACTGGACCTCACTACTGTCTCGGTCAGCACTACGCTCAACTCAACTTGGCCCTTATGATCGGGAAGGCCTCGGTTGAGCTCGACTGGAAACACCACGCAACGCCTGACTCGGATGAGATCAAGGTGTTTGCGACCATCTTCCCCAAGGTATGTTCCACATATTTCGCATTCCACTTGGAAGTGCTCAAAGCTAATTATTATTAGGATGACTGCCCTCTAACATTTGAAGAGAGGAAATGGTAATGTCCTTAACCAGGAATGACATTAGTATGAAAAAGCTTAAGAAGGGCAATGTTGCCGTGTAACGAAAGGGACGAATATAGTAATAGTAATACTGGTCTTGTATATAAGCTATGGTCGGGGATGTCGATACCAACGACTGTTATAATGTCCATAGCGGCCGAATCAGACCTAATTTTTGAACAATCATGATATCTTGCCTTGAACCTAGCGGGGTTTGTAACGTTAGGTTGGCCTAAGAGGTCGGACGAGAATGGTCGACACTAAAAAGAATTAAGGGTCGATAATACCCTTTAATAATATGAAGGGCCGAGAGAAAGAAAGGGATGAAATGTTAAAACTCCTTTCAAGCTTTAATCACAAGAGCAGTTTTAGGATGCTGACGTTAAGTCGTGATAGGCAACCTGACCTTGCCTTCAAATCTTATAATAGAAGTACCCAGGTACCCTTGCGTTGCCTACATGTAACTGTGACATCACGGTTACAATTAAGTTACCTAATCAAGAGCTACAAGCTCGGCAATTTGTCTTCATTTCAATGTTGCTAGACCGTTGAATTACCTAAACCATAGAAGCACTTAGTTACCTACATGTAGGCAAACTGTTTGTACGTTGTCCAGCTCAGCTGTACATAGTAGTGCAAGCAATCGTGAGCAAACTATTTAACCTAGGTATATATATATATATCTACGCGATTGGAAAGCTTTTACTTGGAAATATCCCAGGTTAGCTAGCTAGCACATTGAGAAAAAATCGAAAAATCCCCGCGATGGCGACACGACGACTTGCGATAAACGGCGCTACTACCGCTCTGCGCGGGGGAAGCTCCCGACTGACGGGTTCGGGCTCGGCTACTATTCCTACAGCCGCGCGTATACTGCGAGCTTCGTTCGGCACGACTTCTCTAGGACCGCAGCAGGCTGCGAAAGGGGCGGCGAGAGGGTTTGCGCGACCACAGTTGTTTCGGCGCATCGCCCCTACAAGCGTTCGGTGGTCCTCGGATTCGGCAACCGGGAGCGGGAGTAAGATATGGAATTTTGAAGAGGTGCGTTACTTTGATCCCCTCACTCACCCTTTTCCCTCTTCCCCCTCACCAACTAACTACATAACTAACCCCCTCCTCCCAGATCAACGCCGCCTTATCCACCCCAACATCCACCCCCAAAGTCACCATAATCGACACCCGCGAGCCCTCGGAGCTATCCACGACCGGCCGCATCCCCGGCGCCCTGAACGTCCCGATCGCCAGCGCGCCGGACAGTTTCCACATCCCGGCCGACGAGTTCGCCGACCGATTCGGGTTCGAGCGGCCGCCGCCCGATAGCGACGGGGAGGTGGTGGTGTTTTACTGCAAGGCCGGCGTGCGCAGTCGAGCCGCCGCGCAGATCGCGCGCGAGGCGGGCTGGAAGAATGTGGGCGAGTACCCTGGGAGCTGGCTGGATTGGGTGCAGAAGGGGGGGAAGATTGAGCGGTAGGTGGAGTCAGGTGAGGTGAGGTAAGGTCGACATAAGGACCTATGAGGATTGTAGACATGAGGGATTTGAATAGATATGATGACAACTGAAAGGCTAGTTATCTGATACTCTACCTTTCCAATCTCGGCATGTACAAATAAAGCAAGCAAGAGAGAACTCAAGACCTATCTAGAGCTCTGAATCTAGACGAGAGATAGAAGGAAAATAACAAGTCAAGGTCAAAAGTGAAACTAATCTCATGATACATTAGAACGGAAAGGTATCAGCTAGCTTAGAGGTAGTGTACATAACACTACCTAATGACATATAACCTGCCCAACGCCATAAAAGCATAATACCAGGTCAAGTCTCCCATCTTATTCTTGACCTTGCCATTTCGGCACATCTTTCTTCTCTTCCCATACGAATAGATACACATAACACATACTCCCTTAGAAAAGAAACATGGCATTGCCCTCCGGCTTATCCCCTCCAGTCGCAGGCGGCGTATCACCCGGCTTGTCTCCCGCAACGGGGCTTCCAGCGGCGAAGAACAGGACCTTAATAGCGATCGCTAGGCCAGCATGCAGAGCCACAACAAGGATAAGCAGAATCTTGCTGGTCTGGCGATCGGTAGCGCTGAGGACGGGGTATAAGTTGCGCAGCAAGAAAGCGACGCTGAGACCGAACCCGACACCCACGAAAACCCAGTTGAGGATCGTGATGGGCGACCAGCTGATCAGCGCCACGGGGATCCAAATCAGATTTGAGTACCCGTACAGCGCCCAGCACTCGAGTAGGTTCGCAGATTCGGAACCGAAGTATCGTAGTGCGCCGAATAGAACTACAGGGATTCCGAGAGTGTATCCGTAGATGAGACCAGCAGCGCCTAGATGTATCTTCGTTAGCATAAGTTCCTTCTCTCTTCCTGTCCTTTCATACCCCCCCCCCCCGCGCCGGGGGGGCCGCCGGCCGGCCGGGGGCGGGGGGGGGGGCCAGCGGGCGCGGGCCGGGGCGCCGGCCACGAGGCCAAGCGCGCGCAC